CACATTTTGACGTCATCTGCGATCTATTACTGAACAGACGCACGGCAACATGGAATCTATTTGTTAATTTGGCAAGGTAATTAGTTGTCTGGACGACAACTGGTACCACCGTCATACCTGGAGTTGTAGGTGCTGGTGTTGGAGTGGTTACAGGAGGTGGCACTAAAAGAAAGTAATAAAATAATAACTAAGTCAGCAAATTGATAGAAAGATAAATATAGGATACTTTGTAAGGCACCACCTGTCTATTTTGCTAGAAAGAGTTTGCAAGTGGTACAAACTTCGTACTTTTGGACGACCACTTACTTAGTACGCTGGACAAAACTGCTCTGAATCGACGTTTTACAGCAAAAAATTAAAATAAACATAGTGACAGAAATAATTTTGTGATTGTCTTAAACTTTACTAAGTTCCACACATAGAAACTTATTTTTATATGCATCACGTAAGAAAGGCTTGCGTTACACCTTGTCCAAATTTGGCAACTGAGTCACAAAAGTATTCAAAATTACGTGATTTCTGAGAAAAATGAGTCACATTTGGATAGTTGTTTTGCGAAGAAACTCTTTATGTGTGGGTGGATTTTTTTGTCAAGATTTCGACAAAAAAAGCATGAGAAAGACTTACAACTTATTTGGCCACTGAAATACAATATGATCTTATAACTCTGAAGTCGTAAAACTGTTCTTGCCACTAGATCGGTCTTGCGCCTGTTTTGAAGATGGCTGCCTTTTATCGCGCTTCGTACAAGCCACTCTTGCACAAAATACTGTTGTGTCAAAGCGTTGTCAGCCAAGAACATCAAGCACTGCAATTTGTGCTTTTAGGAAAGGTTACGGACCTGTTTCTGGGCCCATCTACCGGTGGCTTGCCATTTTCTCGGGCTTTCTTGCATAAACAGTTTGAAATAACTTCGTTTAGTTTGCTTTGTGGCCCTTCAGTAATAGCATCACAACGTGAATCTTTAATTCTCTAAACCACTGATGTATCACAGGATTATAGTGCTCCTTCACAGGATTATAGTGCTCCTTCCTCATGCCATCTCGTCGTATTCACGAAAAGATCCACAAACACACACCGATGTTCTTCGCACAACAACACTGGTCTAACACTACGATGTCGATGTAAACCATAACAATTTTTGTCTTCGAAATCGCGCAATTTTCCGTACTTGTGTGATTCAGTCGGTAAATTTAGATACACTTTAACACAAGCCTTCCTTGCGTGATTTATATGAAAATAATTTTCCATGTGTGGAATTCGGTAAGGTTGGAGATAATCAAAAAAGTATTTGTATCGCTTCGCTTGTTTTAATTTTTTGTTGCAAAACGTCGATCCAGAACAGTTTTGTCCAGCGTACTATAAGGTGTGTTTTCACCGTAACTATAAAACAAACGGGTACCGGACTTATCTTGTTGACGATAGAAAGGAACTTACAATCGCAAAGTCTCTTTCGTAGCTCCACGGCAATGGGTTGGAGTTCCTTAAATGATGTAGATATAAGGACATTTTCTTGGCTCGATGCAATTTCCCTCAACTCTGCTGCATCAGCTCCCTTGCCAACTCCAACAGCATATACTGCGACGCCTTTGTTCTTTACTCCTTGTGAGGCTACTGATAGTTCGGTATACGCTTTAGATGTTGTTTGCTTTCCATCGGTGATGACAATCAATACCTGCAAAAAGTGAAAAAGTTTTTTTCAAGAACGACCTTGTACTATAGTAAAACTCTCTCACTTACCTCTGTTACGGCAAAGTACAATTGCTCTCCATATAATTTTAAGCCCTCACTAACAGTAACTCATACAGTGATTTTCACTCGAGTGTCGAAACTAATTCGCATTCGGGTTGGTTTTGTTTTATTACGCTAAGATATTGGCTTAGAAAACACACGCCGCTTTCCCATCGAATCGGATGTAAAGAGAATTAATGTGGCTGGCTGGCGAACGTTTTTCCGCGTTTTTTGCAAACTAAATGTATGTAGTTTTAGTTCTGGCTGGTTCACTGTGTGTGTTCTTTGTGATTGGCCAGGGTAGTAAGTTTGCTTTCGATTCTACGGCACTCTGTTACGAAACTCTTGTTCTACATGCAATACACTTGGTCCGAGTACTTTATGTTTGTTGACAATCGTACACAACTGTTTACCTTTGATACATCTTGTCTCATGCCATTTCCAGCCTGGAATAAATCACTGTCTGCAAGGAGAAGGGCTTTGTCTGTATAAGTGAAACCGCGCTGCCAAAGCATTCCATCAAACGCCTTGTTAACGTCATCTGTTCCCTGGCGGCTGTTAAATCGGTAAACCACCTCAGGATCGTTGCTGTACGCAATAGCTGATAAGTGTGTAGCGGCAGGACTGACGTCCAGTTTGCTGACAATCGCTTTTAGGAATCGCTTCATACGTCCCCAGTTGCTCCTTCCAATACTTCCAGATGAATCGATGACGAATGCAATATCGGCAATTGGTTTGCATTCCATTTCTGTTAACAAAAACAAGGCAAGGGTCAAAAAATACAGAACTGTTTATAAGTTAAACGCGTTCCTTTTACTAATACGGCATTTTTTTTTTTTTGCGGATGTCCTACATAAAAAGTATTACTCTAGAAGTTCGTTAACGTTTTGTGTCTGATTGGAAGGAACATTTAAAGAAAGAATATTAAAAAGGATCACAGATTTTCAATTATACCTTACATTAGATCGTTTGAGTTAATTATACATACCACATGGTCCACTTTTAGCCACAGTCACAAGATCACCACTGACACAAGACTGCCTCCTCATGAGACACTCAGATCGATCTTGAACATCATCTGATGTACAAACACGGCTAACTGTGTCGGGACATGTGGGACAGATGCACTCTGCTGCATTGTCCACAACTCTGCAGCCTATGTTGTAAGGGGCGTCACAGCCGTCAGTCTTGCATGGATCTTCACAAATAAAAGTGTATTAACATTGAGGTAAAAGGTATTACAAATGAAAATTGTCCCAGAAGACAAAGGGGCCGAGCACCACTTACCTGCCGGAGTTGTGGGTTGCGGTGATGGCGTCGTTCGTAGAGGCGGCACTGTGAGAAGAGAATGTTAGATAATATTAATCCTATACATTTACATTTACATTTGACCAGTTGAAGAGATATCAGCTGAGCTTCTTTGACCGAGGTTTAGCAAACTAAAAAAATCAGGCAAAGTGGGAAACACCAGGTTCCACTTTCTCAATTTATGCTACTTTAGCGAGAATTGAAATCATGCACTGTTCCTGACAAGTGAAACATCAGTTTGTATTAGAAAAGGGTCAGGGGTAAGTTACTCTTGATCGTCTTTTGCTTGTATACGACTGGAGTAGGAAGTAAGTAATTAATTAGACATAATTTAAGGCTGGAACTGAAGTAGGAGTATGATGTGAAGATTGATATATTTGTTCCGTGAGAAGAGAGCAATACCTATACAGAAGCCATTCCTTATTTGCTGCACTTTGCTTTCCAAGTCGTCGAATGATTTAACTGTAAACACGTTATCAGGCGAACTGGCGATTTTTTCAAGTTCCGATTTGTCAATGTTGTCGCCAATACCCAAGGCGAATACACTCGCTCTCTTCTTCTGCAGCCGCAAGGAGAGTGCTTCGAGAGGAGTGTACGGTCCTAAATTAGTAGTTTGTTTTCCATCCGTGATTACAAGGACAGGCTGTAATGTTCAAAATACAACAGAAAAGAAAATGGATAATTAAATTGAACAAGATATAAGTACTTACATAATTTTAATTTTAATTTTTTTTTAAAATTTAAAATTTAAAATTTTTATAAGTACTTACATAATTACTGATGCACTATCTAAAAATAATTTTGACAACCTCCAGTATTGAGATCGATATCTGTGTGCTCCTCTACGACTAGTATTAACCGATTGATTGACAAACACAACAAAAAAACGGGCGTAGGTGACCAGGACCTTGGACAACTTGTGACGTCTCACTTCATGACGAAAGATATTTTTTTATGACAAAATGACCGAGAAAATTATTTTACTGTGATTAGCCGCGAGCAGACAAATTTATCACTAATTTTCAATTCGCGCTCAAGTGTAAATTAGTACGCGATAGTTCAAAATTTCGTCACTAATATAAATGAGTGGTCGTATGAAAGCTTGAGGCATTCAGGATTAACACTGTTCCTGATAACTGAAAAAAAACAACAACAACAACAAAAAAAAAAACGAGATACTACTCGTAGTGTAAATCTTCAAATTGCCCTCGCATTCATTCGATTACCTATACAGAACGGATATCAAAGGAGGAAGAAGTGATTACAAAATTACCTTTAAGGCGCCCCTATTAATGTGTTGTTCAAGAATCAAAAAACAAAATAAAACAAAAAAAATCACTCAAATACAACTTTTCAATAGTTCAAGAGTTAAAGCACGGAAATACGGAAGTTGTACAATATCCTCGGATCCCTGATTCGCGTCTTTTCAGACGAAGGATTCACAACGATCAAAAATCCAACGCCCCTCTTAGTCTTCGCGGCTCCAAAGTATGTGCGAGGTTGAAGTAATATATCAAACACTCAAGACCGCGTTTGACCTTTCCGAGAAGAGAGTTGAAAATACAACGCGCAGCGGAGTATTTTTGACGAACTTCGACGTGGTTAAAAGTCTTTGCAAATTTTACCAATGCTTTATGCCCAACCTTCTTAAAAGAAAGAATAAACGACAGTTATAATCCATAACGTTATGGACAAATGCCATCAATATTAAGAGTTTTTCTGATATTTCAGGCAAGCACTACACAAAGCCTAGCGGTAGCATCGACAACCATAGTTGCATGCACAGATAGACATACATCCTTTATTACTATGGTTACTAAAAAAGTATTCTTCAATTTTCTCTGAAGCGGCGGTTTATTAAACAGGAAATGTAAAGACCCATCTCACAGGCATATTAGAGGATAAGAAGCATTCACACAATTTTTAGCATTATGTATTAGTTTACCCTTGGAACATCTCTCATGCCAGCACTACTTGTCAACACCTCCTTGTCAGCTAGTTCCATCGCTTTATCAATTCGATTAAAACCTTTCTGCCAGCGTAGGCGAGCAACCTGTCTGTTGACCTCTTGGACACTGAGAAGTGAGCCAGATAATGTGTTGAATTTGAGAGCCAATTCAGGATCTGTACTGTATGGTATAAGTGAAACGTGAGTTCCAGATGGTGACACGCCAAAAACACTGACTAAAGTTTGGACAAAGTTCAACAGGCGAATCCAATTACGACTGCTACCAATGCTCCCAGATGAGCCAATAATAAATGTAGTATCCATAGGAATTGGACAATTGCCACCTGTTTGGGGAAAGAAGTAAAGTAAAACTCTAAACGTCGACAATTGAACATACAACAATGAAAATGTAAAAAGTAATCGTGTTCTATCCTGCATATCCTGCACTCTAGCGCTAAAAAATAAAAAAAATCTAATGGCGGACTCGTTTTTTAACATAACTTGTTTTTTAGGCAAAATAAATCCTTGGAGAAGTATGAAGTTGGGGGAGGGGGAGGGGAAGAGAAGGAAAACAGTGTTGGTCAACAATAGAAACCTTTTGTGATGGAGGAGTTTCACAAATTTAATAAACGAAGAAGACCTGGCAGGAATTATGTGAGCAGTTCAGAAGAAATAMAAACAACGGATTACCTCAATGTACTCTAATAGCGCTCTACTCTAATTATAACAATATGGGTACTCACGTACTGTACAATAGGATGGCTCATTGGTATAAGGGCACTTATTCAAAGAGGAGCGCTAAATAGAAAGGGATGCTCACTAGACGGAGGGCGCTAAATCTAATTGTGAAGGAAATGCTAAAATTACACAGGATATATGCCATGCTAAGTTTCTGCTGGAGATATTACGATAAGGCGTTCCCTATAAATAAGAAGTACTGAAGTGAAGTCTTGAATGCAATAGAAATGTAATACTGTACCATATTTTTCGTTGGGATCTTTAGGGACACAATCGTTATCACAACCATCAAAGCAGCATTTTTGATCATCTGTGCAGTCGTTGTCTCGTTGGCATTTATCTTCTCGCAGAGGATTCGGATCGCTGGGATTCTTAACATATACACATACTTCTTGGACCCCATTTCGTGGCTTGGGACATCGACCAGGTTTATCTAAAAAAGGCGAAATTATATTTTGTGGGGATAAATGAAATGAAAGAGAGATGACCAAACTTTGGACAACACCTTTACAAAGTAGTCGCCCATCCTAGGACTTTAGAAGGGTAATAGGAAACCTACCCACAACACACTTGGGTCTAAATGGCCTTGTAACTCTAGTTCCGGGTATTTCTCTGCCTCCATCGTCCACACAGAACGCATCAGACCCTTCAACCTGAATGGGGTCAAATTTGCCACCCCGCGTGCAACTCGGGATAAAACGGCCTGGCAGATAGCTTCTTAACGCTTCCAGGTAAGCTTTCTGGCATTCGGTAGGATTGGGACCTGTATGAAATAAAATAACCTCAACAGTTGATCATCTTCATAAATGATTGACCTTTAGATTTAGACTCTGTTTTGATAGGTCTGCAAATCACAATGGATAGGTAAGTTCTTTTTTTCACGCAAAGTGATCCATACCCCATACAGGGAGGCTAGAAAAAATCGAACTCGCTTCATGCCAAGGAAACCGGAGTTCGTTCGGAGAGACGTCACTTTTACCTGATCTACTCTACCCTTACTCATGCAATTCTTGTTTTAACGACAATTACATTTATGAAGCAACGTTTTGCGAAAATGTAATGAAAGCTTTAACAGTGCTCTGGCATGTGACCTCTGCGATGCTGATACAAAACGTTTTACTACCAGTTCTAGATACGAAGTGACCGGGAACTGGCCAAGCCTTCGAATCTCATCCTGTCTCTAGTATCTGAGCAACAGAAGAACGCTACTCGAAGTGCGTCCTTACAACATCTGAATCCAAAATCCTTTAGAATAAATTTAAGAAAATTTTTCCATCTATTATTAGATGCTATTATTCGAATGACATTCCTTTATCTACTCGTAATAAGCCAACTAGTAAACTATTTACTAAAATCACTTAACAAGTTTTATTTTGCTCAGTATTAATAATTTAACATCATATCTTTATTTACTGTATGTTTACTCTTTCCTCTCTTATACTAGTTTTCTTTTACCCTAAAATATATGTATGTAACTAAAGGACATATAATTAGTTTACTATATTTTGCCATTTCCTCTTCTTTTTCACTGCACTTGTTTGCGAACAATAGTGTATTCATGTCGTCAAGTGGAGAAATAGAAAATACAAATACAAATGGTGACGTATATTCATTCATGTCACGGTTTGAGCTAACTTTCAATCACTTTGGGAAGCTAAAGAGTAGGTAAACATGACCTGATGAGAATGATTAATTTTTCTAGGGTAGCAAGTGCCAGAGAGCTGCTGTGTCTTCGGTGGAGTCATAAAAATGATTGTATTCTCTATTTTCCAATTGCCCATAATTCACTCTGTTTGCCCCCCTCCCCCCCAAAATTTTGCATAAACTATTGTTGTGAAATGCTCTTGGGAATATGTAGACCTCCCATGCGTATTTCACAACAATAGTTTATGCAAAATTTGGGGGGCAAACAGAGTGAATTATGGACAATTGGAAAACAGAGAATTGAGGAAAAAACGTAATATTGATATTGATCTACGTATATTACGTACCATAACAATTTGGTTGATATGGGCGAGGTGTGTCTGTTCCCTTTATGGCCTTTCCGTTGTTGTCTACACAGTAGCACATTAATCCTTTACACTGAATAGGATCAAAGGATCCATCTCGTCGGCAATTTGGTGCAAAAGCATCTGCCGAACCTTGGAGAGCTGCCTCACGCTGCCTTTCACATGGTGTTGGAAGTCGATTTGGAGGGTCTGATTCTATAAAAATGGCAAAAAGTAGAGAATGAAAATGAAAAAAAATACAAAAAAATACAAAAAAATATAAAAACGATTTATTTGATAGTAATACGATAAATGCCTTGACTTTAAAATACAGTAAAAAAAATCACAGTTTTGGTCGAGACTTTTTTAAAAAAATTTTCACCAATACCAGCAGTACGTTGATGTGATTCCGGACAATGTTTTAATTTACAACATAGTAACTATCCAGAGAAACAACGAATATTGGCTCCGCAACTCAAAGTAACGTAATTCACTTGGATTTCAATCGGTTATTTCGCAGAGTAGACATTTAAACTGGCGACTTCCACACATAAAAACGTGCAAATGTTTACCAGGGGTGGGTGGGCAGCTTGGAACGTCCGGTAACAGAGTTTCATTGACGCCTAAATTGAGACCATTGCCGCCAACACAAAAGCATTTATTCCTGTAACACTGGACTTCTTTGTAACGACCATCTGGATGACACTTGGGAACATAACGTCCTACATAGGAGAAGCGTGATGATTCTTGGTACTGTCGTTGACATCTTGTCAGTCTCCAACCTTACGGGTATAGAAAAGTGAAGACTACTATCAAAGAGAATCAAAAATCACAAGGCTTGGTCCCAAGCAAGAACAAAGTAGAGTGTTCTATTATTGAAGAAAAAAAAATTATCTTACCCTGGGATTCACAGTTTGGTTTAATAAAGCGTGCTTTTGATGTGCCTGGAATTGCTATTCCACGGCTGTCCACACAAAGACATACTGAACCCACACATTGTGTCGGATCGTAGCTACCATCTGCTTTGCAACGAGGAACAAATCTACCAGGGAGGAGACGGAGCAATGCTGTTTTAAAGTGACGCCGACATTCTGTTCGTCTCTTCACTATTTGCAAGAGAAACGATAAAGAAGAGCAGGTCTATGTAAGTAACCTCTCGCGTTTCATCAATTATATACTGGGCATACCGAATTTCCTCAAATTGTAAGTCATTTCTGCCGTTACCTTGTGGGTCACAATCCGGCCAACCTCTTCTTTTAGTGCTTTGGATCTCTCTTCCATCCTCTTCAACACACCAACAATCCCAGCCGGTGGTACATTGCACGGGGTAATAGGAACCATCTTCCTGACACTGTGGTACCCACCGACCTACCACATGGCGTTCGGTTGCTGATTTTCTTTCCTTCTGACAAGGGGACAGAGGAAGGGCTAAAAACAGTTCAGAACATGACAAAAACGTTAAGACATGCATCAGATGCGTGACAATGTTAAGTAAGGTACCTTTCGTGTGGATAACTCACGAAATCCATCCAAAAAAATGGATTTGTATAGGAAATCCGAATACACTTTTTCCAGCACAGATAAATGTTCAGAAAACCATTATTTTAAAATACAGAGAAGAAATCAACTTTCTAGTCTACCTGGCGTAGCATCGCAAGATGGGAATGATGGGAGCAGCTTAGCTGAAGCCTTGACTCGTGTTCCTTGTTGGTCTACGCAGAAACACACAGATGCTTCGCACTGTACAGGGAAGTACTTTCCATCAGGTGTACAATGTGGTACGTAGGTGTTACTGTAAGGTAAGTTATACGCTTTCTCGTACTGTCTCTGGCAAAGAGTCTGTGGTTTACCTGTAAACAATTCAACGTTTGATTAGTTCTAAGTAGGAATAATACGTTTACCCCAAGATGTTGAGGCTTAATCAATTTTTGAGGAAAAAGTAAGCTCGAGACTGTTCTAAGTTTCGGCTAATATACATCAAGCTAAGGTATAGGGGTACAATAAATATGCGCGAAGATTATGAGGACTTTGATAATTACATTAGAATGGAGGATAACACGTGGGCACTAAACTCTCACACAACTGTAAAGTTGATGGTGGTGGAATTAAAAAAAAAATTCAGTTTTCAGAAGTAATAAAAAAAGTCAACGAAGTTTATCTATCATAAATAACATAGACACAGTAATTTCAGCCGTTGTGCATGGTACTTTCGAAATGGGTTTTCGAGCCACGTGCATGCCTGCCCCATGCAAGAGATGGGTCAGAAGTCACTTAACTTTTACATTTAACTTAAATTTTTACAATTATATGGCCCTTTTCACGGTTAACGTTCCTCATTTCCATTACAATATAATCTAGAGTGTACGTGAGGCATTTTAGGGCCAATTTGTTCTTTCAATCCGAAATTTCCTTGCATCTAAGGGAATTAGAATGTAATGCGAATGAGAGAAAACTAACCGTGAAAGAGCTATTGATGTGACATGTCAAAAACAGTCTTAAACCCAAGGTGTATATGTCACACAAAAAAATAAATAAATAAAAAAAAATAACCTCCAGTGGCACACGATGGCCATCCTCTTGTTACACCCACACTAATGATTGATCCTGATCGACTAGTACACCAGCAGTAACCACCTGCACACTGCACTTCATCGTACGTTCCATCTGGAAGACACCTGGGTACATAGCCACCTTTTGCATACGAGCGACGGGCGACAGCTTCCTTATATTTTTTCTGACACTCGGTGGGCGAATCAACTACAAATCATAAGTAAAACCAACATGGTAAGAATTCGGCCTATTCGCTGCAGTATGATAAAGACGCCATTGCGGGTTGATTTGTAAACAGGTAAGGTCCAGAGTTTGTTACCACCTTCGTGTTTGTTTACTGTCTAAAAACTGGCGATCTCTAAACAACAACTGTTCCGGAGATCTACCACTTCTAAAATGAATTACGTTTCGTATTCTATAGTAAATGTGCGTTTGACTCTTAAAACCAAATATTTTCCTTGTGTTATGAAACAACAAGCATACCGAATTTAAGACAGTTTGGAGGACTGTACGCCGATTTTCGACTCCCTGGAATTTCTTTTCCATTTCGATCGACACAGAAGCAAACGGTAGTACGACACTGGAGATTTTCATAGCTGCCATCTGGTCTGCAGCGTGGAACATATCGACCCACCACATAGTTCGTTAATGCTGCTTGATACTCTTGTCTACATTTGGTGTCCGTAGGGGCTGTAAGCAAGAAACGTTACATATAAGTACCTCTCAAGTTTCGCGCTTAACTTTAGCTATGGCTTAAAGATGTATCTTCCATCCAACCGCAGTATCCACCATGACAGTATATAATGAAACAACAAGTCTACTCTAAATTAACTTTATTTCGATAGCCAAAGAGGGGCCTAAATCGCGTCTCACTTATCATGTGGGAATTATCACTAGGTGTCCATTTTGATTTTTGATGATGTTCGAGGTGTTACCCCTCCCAATTTAGTTATCATTTCTACCATTTGCAGTTAACGTATCCATTAACTTTCTACCCCCTCCGGAAACAACATGACAAAAATGGCGTCTCCAGAGAAGAATTGCCTAGTTTCAGCAAATGACCTTCTTACCTATGGGACGCCATCTAGTTAACCAGTTGTCGTACCATCGATTGAGAACCTGTGGCGTGCGTCTTGGAAGCTCATCAAATGGATAGAAGAAGACCCTTGATCTGTCGGATGTAAGATCCTCCAGTTCTTTTTCAGGAGTATAGGGCCGTACGCCAATTGCATATATAGGAATGTCGCGGTCCCTTAGTCGCTGCGATGCTCGCGACAAAGGAGTGTATGGGACTTGGTCTCTGTCTTGTGGACCATCAACCAAGAGGATTACGAGCTATAAGGTAAAAAGATATCGAGTCGCAGGACATCTAAAGGTATTTAAAAATGATCTATTTACAGTGGCATAACAGATCGCAATACCGTGAACGTTTCAAATAGAAATGCAACCATTTTGAAATGCGGTAAGAGCAAAGATGACTCATTGTTGTCGCAATAGGCGAAACTTGTTAACTTTAGCTGGATTATGAAACCAGCTCCTCTTTGGTTACGTTAGACTTCGTCACGTTTGGCAACCGAGTAATATACTGGCTGACATTTACTTTGAGCCATGTATAGATAAAGAAACTTGCTTATATTCCGGTAACAGATTACAATCTCTCAACAGTTGGAAGCTGGTATTCATACTTTTAACGGTCACACTGGTGTAAACAGGCAAATCAGGGTCTTCTTGGGGGAAATCTTATCGTTAACTGGCGAAATCTTCACTTTGCAAGCTATTTCATAACATCAACTTACCCGTGGCACATCTTTTCGCATGCCAGACTGAGGAGTGAACAAAACGTTGCTAGCCAGTTCCACAGCTTTGTCAATACGCGTGCTTCCTCTCGTATAACGCATGTCATCAATACGACGTTTGACGTTTTCCGGTGTGTACTGGGGTCCTTGCAAAGTGTTGAATCGGAATGTTACTCGAGGTTCCGAGTTAAATGCAATGGCACTGTAACGGACACCATCTGGTGATGCACCGAGTGTGTCAACCACTGTCTTGGCAAAAGTTTGGAATGCATTCCAAGTCTGCGGTGTTGTTCGAGGCGATGACCCCAGAAGAAACGCTACATCTGCTGCAGGATAGAGGCCTAAAAACATTCAAAAGATTTGTTATTGAACCGTATTTCTGTAACTCAGACATGCCGAATATTTTCACGAGAGATATAAAACGCAGCCTCAACAATGGAGCTGGTTTTGTTTTAATTTACGCTATCATGGCATACAAATTCTATGAATATATCAATTTATATTACAAGACAACGCATAAGCAAGATAATAACCAACTTCCAAAAACAAGTACGGATGTATTTTGTAGAGAGGAAGTCGTCCTATCTGAAATTTAGTTTTGCCAGCCTCTTCTTCTTCTGGAGAGCTACTGCAATCAACTTACCTCTACCGCGTATGTAATCTCTCCAGCTGTTCCAAAGTTTTGGTCCAAACTTTGGTAACCGGCTAATAGGTTCTCTGTAAATATTTTGCGGGCGTGAAGCGACGTCATTTAGCTGCTGGTCATCCACGTCTGGCCCTACCCCAAGTACATAAATTTGAACTCCACGGTCTTTCAGTCCCCGTGACGCAGTCACTAAAGGTGTGTACCCTTCCGGATAGCTCGACAGCGAACTTGCTGTTATCACAAAAAGGAGCTACAACAAACAAATTAATACTTATTAAGAATCAGTGCATTTACTAGCCAGGTAACTATATGGCTCATTTGAAAAGAACTTTTAAATTTTTCCGATTGGATAACTGAGATGATCAACACGTTAATGTGGTTCAAAGCGTACATAGTATAACCAACTGAACTTTAACTTACATTACATTTTTTTCAAGCAGTGGTAAAATTCACTCTTCAGTACTAAAAAGAACGTGATACTCGTGAAAGGTATCTCTCTTTCAAAGGCTTTTTTTGCAATTAACAGTTATTACCTATTCTGCGACAATGTTACCTAAAATGCGAGGTGGATTGAAACAAACACAACAAAACAAAAAGTAGCAGTAATAATCAATCTAAAAGGAAATTAAATAAGTAGGAAAGTTCTTTTAAACTAACGGTGCTCTTGGCTGCAAGCAGGAAGATAGCCTGACAGCCTTTATCCTTACAGTGTAAAAACAAATGCCATTATTTATTTAATAAGTGACTGGTAATAAAATGAGGTATGCGCGATAAAGCTCGTTTGTTTAGATACAATATGGTACTTTTACTACAGCACAGAACGCACCTTGGGCACCCATCTTCTCATTCCATTTTCCTCCGTAAACAAGGACCTGGAAGCCATTAGCAGACCACGATCAAGTCTAGGTCTTCCTCGTACCAAGGGAGCTTTATCCACAGCGCGCTTTACTTCGTAGTTATTAGGTAATTCGTCATTAAAGTTAAACAACATCCTAGCATTGTTTCCGTAAGTAACCATTCCGACATTTGCAGATCTGGGTGCAACGTGATAACGGTCTACTGTCCTCTTAACTATATCTTTGAAGTCTCTCCACATCTCAGGTGAAACATTGCTCGACGCGTCCACAACAAAACCGATGTCTACAGCTACCCAGCGATCTGAATAGAAATAAAGGGATGTTCCATAAGTTGCTTTGAATAGACAATACATGAAATATTCAGTACAATGCAGGCCACATCTAAACTTTTTTCTATGGAGCCATCTTATTAGTTTATACAGAAATATACGTTGTGTTTACATCGATAACAGGAACGCAAGGGCTGTTTCCATAATACATGGGTGCATCTTAAAATACCTTTTGTCCTACACCGTTATGTGCAAGTAAAACTAAAAGTAAACGTGAGGTAAGCATAACTTCATCCAACCTCTTAAGTATGTTCTCCAGTTTTCTACTATTGTCAGGCGCCTCTGTGGGAGGTCTTTGACAGAGCTGACAGGTCTAAAAACGTTCTGTGGTCTTGACGCAATATCTCGCAAGTTCTGTTCGGGGACCTTGTCTCCGACACCCAGAGCATAGACCTCTACCACTTTGTTTTTGAGAGGTAAAGATGCCCGGTCAAGTGGAGTGGATGGCTCTTGGTCTGGGTCTTGTCCAGAGTCTGTGATTACAAACAGAAGCTGCAAAAATATAGAAGGAGAATATTATTGTTTAGGTGTTGATAAGATTCNAGAAATAAAGGGATGTTCCATAAGTTGCTTTGAATAGACAATACATGAAATATTCAGCACAATGCAGGCCACATCTAAACTTTTTTCTATGGAGCCATCTTATTAGTTTATACAGAAATAGACGTTGTGTTTACATTGATAACAGGAACGCAAGGGCTGTTTCCATAATACATGGGTGCATCTTAAAATACCTTTTGTCCTACACAGTTATGTGCAGGTAAAACTAAAAGCAAACGTGAGGTAAGCATAACTTCATCCAACCTCTTAAGTATGTTCTCCAGTTTTCTACTATTGTCGGGCGCCTCTGTGGGAGGTCTTTGACAGAGCTGACAGGTCTAAAAACGTTCTGTGGTCTTGACGCAATATCTCGCAAGTTCTGTTCGGGGACCTTGTCTCCGACACCCAGAGCATAGACCTCTACCACTTTGTTTTTGAGAGGTAAAGATGCCCGGTCAAGTGGAGTGGATGGCTCTTGGTCTGGGTCTTGTCCAGAGTCTGTGATTACAAACAGAAGCTGCAAAAATATAGAAGGAGAATATTATTGTTTAGGTGTTGATAAGATTCTCTGCAACAAAAACAGGTCCAGTTTTCAGACTAGATAGTTCTATGTCGCATGACATTACATGACATGAGCTAGATGGAATCCTAGTTCCTTAAGCTTCCCAATAGTTCCAATAACAATTTAAACTAGACTGGAGGGAGGCACAGTCAGAGTAAAATAATGAACACTCTGGGCAGCGCAGAACCATCGTACAGTAAAAAGTAACGCAAACGTCAAGAAATTTAGATCTTTGTTGCCTACGAATCGTCAGAAAACGCGATGCACTTTCAGTGGGACGTACGAAAGAGCAACGATTTTTCGCCAACGAAAAGGAAAATTCCCTTGCACGAAAAATTCAGACCAAAGAAAATATAGACTACTGTGGCGTAAAACTGTGGCGTAAATTCGATCTTTTTGTGAAGTTTTATTAACGTTGTGGTCTATATAACTATATAGCCAATTCGCTTCATGTGCTGTTTTAGTCTATAACGGACATTTGAAAAGAAAGGATCATGGCCTTTGCGCTCTGATACCTACTAGTCAACTTACAACAATAATAGTATAATAAATCAAGAAAGCATGTTGGTACCTTAAGAGAGTCCTTTCTTGCTCCGCCTTGAGGTGTAAAGAGATATGTGTTGGCAAGCTTCAAAGCCTTATCAATCCTTGTGGGTCCATTGCTGTATGGAACTCTGTCAATCAACCTGCGGACCTCATAGTTGTTTAGCTGCGGACCAGTAAGAGCATTAAATGCAAATCCGACTCTCGGTGTCGTATCAAACGATATCACTCCTATTCGAGCTCCTCTTTGAAGAACCGGGAATTGGTCAGCAATTGACTTAACAAAGTCAAGGGTGGCCCTCCACTGATCTTGAGTGGTTGAGGGTGATGATCCAATTAAGAAGGCAATGTCGACTGGATAGCTCCGTTCTGCGGAATTAAAAGAAATCAATTTAGAAAGCGGAATCTAGACAAATATGCAAAAGTAAACATGGATTGGTGGGATGTATATTATCTGAAACAAGAATAATGCAAAACATACAGTTCAAAGAATTTAATAAAGGAAAATTTGATTCTTTAGTTCGATCCTAAAATAATACCTTTTTGCACCAAAACGTATTGGGCGGACAACAAAATCTGCATTAATTACCAAAGGAATTATGAAGACAACGACACTGTAATATGCAGGTCGAGAAGTCAAACTATCTTTTGTAGGAAGTAAACGGCAAAAAGAGTACGACTACTAGTGCAGCCAAGAAAACAGTTGTAGGTGGTCAGCGGATCCACAACATAGACAGCTGGTGTCCTATGTTTCACTCAGAAGAGAAGGCAAGTTATTAGTAATAGGGAACCATGTCTATTTGCTCCAGAGCATATTCACCTCTCAAGCGAGTTTTAACCTGGCTCGCGATCTTGGTGGTAATAGCAGGTGCAGGCTCATCGGGTGCGACAGCGTAAACATTGTCATCGCGAGAAGCTATTTTACGAAGGTCATCCATGTTGGTGTCACTTTTCGGTTTCGTGGAAAATGCGAAGACCTCCACATCTTTGTCTTTTACTTTTTGAGCAGCACTTGCCAGGGGAGTGGATTGCTGATCCTTTGGTTGGTCTCCGTCTGCCACTACCAGCAAGAACTAAAACATGAATTAAACGTGATTTGGTTTATTGGGTACGAGTATCAACAAATTTTGACCAGGAAATCCCACCAAAATATCTCCTCACAAACGGTTTAGGAAACAAATGGTTGAGTCAACAACAATAAACTGTTACTCCAAACTGGTTGTCGCCTAACGGATGAACCATTGCATCACTGAAATAAGTGGTCATTGAGAAGAATTACTCATAAGACCTTGGCATACTCCTGTTGGAAGCGTCATTATAACCTGCTACGTGACGAAGGACATGAGAAAAACATGATAGATAGAAAGCTTTACTTGCATAGTTAGTATTGAAAGAATAGCTCACGTGCTGTAGGCAGTACGGTCACAAAAACGCAACTCTACTCTTAACACTTTTCCGTACGCAATTGCACATCATGTAAATTATTAAAGCATCCCTGATCTGAACAAAATGAATGACATCACATTCCATTTCATACCTTGGAAGCTTCAGTTCTCATTCCACTTTGTGTTGCAAACATTTCGTCAGCTGCCTTTTGGAGACCAACATCCAGTCTAGTTGTTTCCACTTCCTCGTAAGGAATTTGAGAAATCCGGCGTTTGACTTCATATAAATTGTAGTCCGATCCTCTGAGGGTGTTGAATTTCAAAGCCAATTTCGGAACCTCGCCCACCGTTGCAACGGAAAGGTGAGTACCTCGTTGAGATACCGGAAAGGCATCCACCATAGAGTTGACATCATCAAGGATTGATGACCATTTCGTTGGTGTTGTTTGTGGAGAAGACGCGATTAATATTCCGACATCAGCAGGGGCAGTTAGGTCTGTTTCGATGAGAAGGAAACATTACTACACTTACAATTATAGGTGTCCACTAGTCCTTTTGCCCAGAAGGCATGAGCTTTACCAGCAATATACAATCAATTCAAGCATTGAAAAAACGTAGCGACCTGGTCATAATTTATGGGGTACGTTTCTGCCGATAATACGAAAAACATTAATCGACACAAGTTGCCGGGTCGTCGATCTTTGTGTAGGACTTGGCAAAGCTTTTTATCTATCTTTGAGTAAAGAAAAAATGTTCTTGTGCTAGGTCCTACTACACAAACTATAAATATTGGTATTTAACGACAGACGGTTATGAACACTATGGTGTTAACTTTGAAGGCAAGAGCAGAACGGTAGAACTGACCTGTTTGACGGCTAGGATCCTCCACATATCCTTTAATGGTATCGGCTATTCGTTTTCCAGTGTTGGCTAACTGATCAGATGGAATGATGTACACATTGGAAGGTTTCGTTGTGGTGTCTTCTAAATCTTTTTGATCGACACCAGGCTTAACTCCCACTGAGTAGATATTGATGCCCTTGCTCTTGAGTCCTTGGGAAGCTTCACTGAGAGGTATTTGCTGGGGGTCTTTGGTTTTTGTGTCCAATGATACCAAAACGAGGAACTGTTGGATAGACGTTTCACCCAACTTATAATGAACACTGATGCAGTATTTTAAAAGAAATATAAAACGTCTAAATGACGTTTAGGCGTCATCTTGTCTTCGTTGCGGTTCGGTTCGAATATATATTAGTTTAGGTGTGGAAGAGACAAGAAAAAATGACCGATGCAATAATTGCTTTACATATCACAAAAATAAAAAACTATTTACGTTTTGGCCGAGGAAAAGGCTACGTTAAAAGCTAAGTTGGTGGAGCTAAATTGTGGTTACCACCTACTTATCCATCAAGAGGGTAACGTCAACGTTTCTTAGTTAAGGAAAATTGCACCCTGAGGACACTACCGAAGTGATTGGAGATTGAGAGGTGGTCGTTATTGGAGGGCGCTAAATTGAACCATTACGGTACTGATATCGTTACCTTTGGAACTCCTGGTCTTGAGCCAGCCTCTGTTGTAAATAACTCTCTCTCAGCCGCTTGCAAGGCTCTGTCTATCCTAGGCGTACCTGACATTGGCGGTAATGTGTCTATGAAACTCTTCAATTCATCCTTGCTGTCTTGTTTACCTTGCAGATCATTGAATTGGAGAGCTGTTCTTGTGTTTTCCCCGTATGTAATAAGAGCCACGTGAACACCACTTGGAGAAATATCAAGTTCATCAATGATAGACGTTGTAAATGCTGATATCTGCGTCATATTGTCAGGAGTTGTGGCATAGTCCAAAACTAAAGCAACGTCTGCTCCAGTAGATGGTGCTAGGGAAAAAAAAACAATTAGGGGCTTAAAAAAACATACATGATTCGCCAGCGGGGACAAAAACTATTATAGTAGACGTTGTAAATGCTGATATCTGCGTTATATTGTCAGGAGTTGTGGCATAGTCCAAAACTAAAGCAACGTCTGCTCCAGTAGATGGTGCTAGAGAAAAAAAAAACAATTAGGGGCTTAAAAAAACATACATGATTCGCCAGCGGGGACAAAAACTATTATAGTAGACGTCGTTAAAATTATGGCCTTCTAAACCGAGGTTGTATTGCATTTACACGTAAAATAAGATGGCAGTCTATCAGTTCGCGGATGCAACGGAGTTTAGTAGTACTTGTCATCAGTGAACCATTCAATATTATCATTACAGTTATTATCACGGTGTAATTCCCAAGAAGTATCAAAAAATCTCTGTTTTGAGGCCACTGTTGTAGCAGTAGAAATATAGTTCCGCAAATTGTAAGGCTTCAGTGCGAGAAAGATCTATGACTTTTTCACTGCTGATAGCCTTTTTCATTGCAAGTGTATCTTACCGCATTGAGGCCAACCCTTTCTCTTTGTTCCGGTCAATTCTCTGCCAGTAGCATCAACACACCAGCAATAGTCCCATCCAGCACCACACTGAACTTCTTCAAAACGTCCGTCCGGTTTGCACTGTGGAACAAATCTGCCAATATTGTAGTTTTCCATTGCTTGACGGTACTTTTCCAAGCACAAGCTCTTCGTTGGCTCTACAGGAATAAACATTTCGTAAACAGCTCCCTTTAGAGCATAGCCCTTCCATAGCCTGTAAGTCTTAGGGAGTTGAAGCTATGACGGTGTTGGAAGATTTATAGCACGTCCAAAATATTACTTGAGGTCCATAACATGCAACGATGACGTCATTTGACGATGCACCATCTTTGACTTTAAGATTACAATGAAGTGTTGTAAAACCGCCAACAATGCTTTAACGTTTTGAAAGCAACAGGCAATCAACGTTAGAAGGGGGCCTCAAAAGCCTACTATCCCGGTCTGACCATGATTAAAGCACTTAAGGCTCACTTTTGCTTGAGCCAGCCTCTGTTGTAAATAAGGGGATATTTTGGCGAATTATCTTCTAGTGAACGAAATGTGGATTTTCTTTTCATTGACGCTCAACCCAGTTCCGTTTGAAAACGCGACTGTGCTTCAGCTGTCAATATTGGCCATTTGCATTCCCATGCTTACTAGTACTATGTGTCTTCAAACGCAGTTCAATGGTTTTCCTCCTTATTAATAGAATGTAAAGGGAAAAAAATCGACTTTTCCGCAGGCTCTGTTTTAAGTGTTTTACTTACCATCATCTTTTGGTTTAGGAACAAGACAGTTGGGTGTGTCGGGAAGGGTTGTCTTGGTTCCCGAGATCTCGTTACCATCCTTGTCTACACAATAACATACGAAGCCTTGGCACTGAATGTCTTCAAAACTACCATCCTGTGTACATCGTGGAATGAAACTTCCAGGAGCTCTGTTTTGAAGAGCTCGCTCCCGTTGTTCTTGGCATTTTGTCAGTTGTTCTCCTACAGATTGGAAAATGCCAGATTGTATTGAAAATACATTTTATGTGATTGCTTTACTGTAATGCTACATAGTGAACACAGTGAAAGAAGAGAGCCCGTCTTTTTACTTGGCTAATACCACAAGGTAATGTTTAGTGTAAGCTCTCATCTGAGAATAGTAGAATAGATTACCAAACATTCTCAATTTGTAAACAATGTAGTTTCATGTTAGCCTTTCCGTTGTCCTTCCTAATACCTGTACATTTGATCATAAAACAACCCTAACCATGCAAAGAATTTAGATACCAAAGGCAAAAAAAAAAAAAAAAAAAANGAAACTTGGCACTGTAAAGGTTTGTAGTTACCATCTCTGTCACAGTCTGGCGAAAAACGCCCAGGTAGAGTTGAACCCGTGTAGCCCTCTGAGCTTATACGCTCCTGTAAGCATGGGGTTTGCCCAGCTTGAAATAGAAAAGAATTAACGTAAGAGTAGTCTTGATACAGGAAGTATGGTGGCAATGAGTAAGGATCATTTTTGCTGGATTTAATAATGTTCACGAGAGACACATCACATAGAAACATGCCGTTAGTAAGGCGCATAATTTATTAGCCAAGCACTTGGGCTCATAGAGATGAGACAAGCTAGTTAAATACCTTAATCTATAAGTACAACTGCTCAAGATACCTTTTTGCTGAACACAACACTACTTTGAGAGGAAGAATCAAATGGGCTAAAACGAGATACCTTTAGGAATGTAGGAAAGTTCAGACATAATAGTGCAACCCAAAGCGACCATATTCTCCTGTTATCATGGGGTTAGCCCGTTGTGGCTAGAAAAACCCGGTTTCGTGTATGAAAAATGGTGATATGGACTGGGATTGACCTCTGGCAGGATTAATCATTTTCACCAAAATTTTTTCCTCGATTCAGCCCACCTATAATGTTAAAAGCACAATTTCCTATATATATAGGACAAACTACTTTGAAAGCTAACTCTGTGTGGCGAAGTGAACAAGACAAAATATTGAAAGGATCGTAGAATCAAAACGCCTGCTTGGAACTTTGGAGTACTTAGACATACATGTAGCAAACACTCATTTATAAAATACCAAGGTCAGTCTTTACCAGTACGAGGACAACTTGGTTTTCCTTGTGTTTCTGTTCCGAGGATTATCACGTTGTTATAATAAACACACCAACACGATCCCGTGGCCGCTGAACATTGTACGTCATCGAAGCTACCGTCAGGTTTGCACTGTGGTACATCTCTGTTGACTTTGGTCTCTTTTCTTCGGAAGTTCAGGACGTCATCTCTTCTCTTTTGGCACTCGGTGGGTACCCTGCTCAAAACTGAAATATTGCCAAATTATGTCATTGCTGCTGTATTTGTAATATGCCTACATAAGATGGGCAACAGCATTAGAACACGTCTTTGCACTTAAACAAATTATGTAGGGCGTAAGAGAAAACTAACTTGCTAACTATTAACTGTGTTTGAAGTTTCATAAATGGACAATTTCTTTTTCATTTCATTCTCCACCTACAACAAGTAAAAAATTACCAAGCCACTGAGTATACCTTCCTCAGAACAGTTTGGAGCACTGTTGTAAGTGCTGGTGTTCCAATACGCATTTCCATTCTTGTCAGCACACCAGCATTGTAACCCCCAAGCATAGCTACATTGTACTTTCTTGTAATTTCCTTGGCTGTCACAATCTGGCATCGGAAGGTCTGTTATTCCAGATGCAATCAATCTTTCCCTATCATAGTAACAATTTTTCGGCTCTGCTGCAAGAAATTAAGTTAAATAACTCATTCAGTGTTGAGAATCAGTACGTACCCTGGCATACACGGAGAAAATTTACGGTACAAAACTACAGGATACTATATGATAAAGCTATTAGTACAACAACAACAAACTGTACGAACGAGGACATAACTACAATTTCCAAGCGGTTTACTGGTATTACGTGTACAGCTTATAACCATTTAAGAATCTGTGTGCACACATCGTCAGCTATACCACATTTATTGCGGCCATGGATCTCATGGGATGAGAACAAGAAGAGTGTAGTTTTGAACATTGCCTTAACAATATTTCTCCATTTCTCCTCTTTTCTTTTTTTACGCTACGACATGAAAACAGCATCAGACGCAAACCTTTATCGGGGCAGCTGACCATTCCCTTCTTTCTCGTTCCAGGAATTTCAAGTCCAAGTGAATCCACACACCAGCAGTAGTTTGTTGCAGAGTAGCATTGCATTTTGTTGTATTTCCCATTGTCGTCACATTCAGGAGCGAATCGTCCAGGGGGCGCACTTCCTAATGGTCCCAAGGCAGTTCTTCGTTCTTTCTGGCATTTGGTCAAGTCAGCTATATAATCAAAACACAAAATGCAAATGGGTAAGTATACAATTTAAGTCACGTAGTGACTCCCTCGTCAAACACTATACTTAAGAACAGCCAACCGTTGCAGTTGAGTTTTATTTTACTTGCTCGTTTGGTCTCGCCGTGGCTATTTTCGCTCGACTAAGTCTTGCCAAAATACGAACCATGGCTCGACTAAACTCGCCTGATATGTCGCCGAAGCGTACCAAAAAGGTAAGTTTAGGTATCTACCGTACCGTGAGCATATATGTCAGGACAGTAGACACGGCTTCTGATTGGCTAATTTCGAATTTGGGTACGGAAAACAGGGAAAATGTGTATACCCACCCATCATTCCACAGCTTGGTACACCTGACGTCCTTGTGCCTTGCTTTTCGATTCCACTCTTATCAACACACCAACACACACCAACGGACGGATAGCACTGAACAACATCGTATTCTCCGTCTGGTTTGCAAGAAGGTACAAACTTTCCGCTGGTTTGTATTCCCTTCCATCCAAGAGCCGCCTGACGCTCCTTTTGACACATGGTCAGACCGGCTGCGGAGGTACATGAATAAACATTTCATAAACGTAAGCGGAAATTACGACAAAAAATAAACCTCAAAATTGCTCACCCATTGGCCCACATCTGGGCGTTCCCGATATTCTTGTCCTAGGTATCTCTCTTCCGTACTTGTCAACACACCAGCAGAATGAAGTACGTGCGAGACATTGAACTGGACTGTAACCTCCATTGACATCGCATCTTAATGTGGACCACCATGGACCACTTGCTCTTACATACTGGCTTGGTATCTTCATTGAAACCACTGGTTGTAGCCTTTTTATGTCACGGTCTTTTTGACAGGTTGTCTTCACACCTGGACAATATAAACATTTACCACTTTTCAGTTTGTTTTTTTTTCGCCTTACTTGCATATGAATATGATCCATCTGGCAAACACACAGTGCGCGTTTTCCATTTTTTACCATTGGAAAATACATTCTACCTGATGTTCACATATACTACTAAACAGCATGTTTTTTAATAATTTTGCAAGGAGATATAAATACCTGGTTTTGATTTATCCGGGCACCTAGATTGCGGACTTCCATAAGTCTTAGTGCCATAAAGTTCATTTCCGTACTTATCAACACACCAACAAATGCCGTTCTCACACTGTACAGGTTTGTACTTCCCATCTTCGGTGCATTCAGGCTGAAATTGGCCAGATCTACCAGCTGCATAGAGTCTATCACGTTGGCACGCAGTCAAATTGCCTGGAAAAAGCGGATCAAAGTAAAGAACATGGCGGAACCAGGTAGTAAGTTGCCCTTCATTGCAGGTATATCTAAGATTCCCAAAATTCTTTTATAAACCCAACGTTCATGGGATATTCCTTTTGTATTCGTTTTTAAATAATACAAATACTGAACTAAACTCAGTGATTATTGGTGTCAACTGAACTTTAGTTTGTTCAAGGTTAATAGCGACAAACCTGTGTCAGCGCAGCTTATTTTGTCACTGGAGCGTGTCCTGGGAATAGGTTTGCCATTCTGATCTACACACCAACAGTATTCTCCGGATGGTGCACACTGTGCAAGTTTATATTCGCCATCATTTGTACACTGAGGTACAAAAACACCAGCTGGGGCCGTTCCACTCCATGCAAGAGCTGCAAGCCTTTCCTTCTGGCATCTCTTGAGTCCAGCTGCTCATAGAGACATAAAGAGTGAGTGAAAATGACTGTACGTATCTGAAAAAAATCATATCTTTAAATCATGGGCTGGTAGTTCTAAAACGCCTTTAAATAGCATAATTAGACCTCATAATTGATCACCTTCTCCTGGGTTTCCAGTGTAGTGCTCAATCATAAAATCGAAATGGAAAAGTGTAGTCTCTCTTTTAAGACCTCTGTTTATGCGAACTCTCAAGTTGTGGTAAAATTAATGTTTTATCTCACTATTCTATTTACGTTCCTAGAATAATAAAGACGTGAATCGAAACTAAACAAAACTTCTTGTTATCCCAGAAAGAAGCGGTGATAAGAGGAAAAAAAAAAAAAACTAAATTAAATTCTCTCAACAACTTTACAAAAAGACTCTAACCATCTGAATCACAGTAAGGTATCCCTGTTGTCTTTGTCCTTGGCAACTCGTTGCCATATCGATCCACACACCAACATTCCCCAAGTGATCCACATTGAACTTTGCGGTAGCCACCATATCTGTCGCACAGTGGGACGAAGCGAGTGAACTGAAAACGAGTCTGCTGTAATTGTGCACCTTCGCTACTTTCCATTTCGCAGATAGTTTTCTTTTTGTCTGCAGGGGAAAGAAGAAAAACAATATAAGACTGGATACCAAAGAGGGTTGCAATATTAAGATCATTATAAATTAATAAATTAATAACTAACCCCACATGAAATATACGTCGGTAAACCATAAAGAATATTAAAACAGAAGACCAATTGATAAATTATTAAAGTAGAGACTTGCTTCAAATGTAACAATATCGCGGATTGATCAGGATAATATAGGATATAGCGTTCTCTGGTAAAAAGTATTTAAAAACATAACCTTTCGACAGCTGGTCTACTGTCTTCGATGGACAAAAGTTTGTGATAAAATGGAACGTTAAAATTTGAATATAGAGAGTAAATCGCATAAATTTAAAATTACTGCACTTATAAAGAATGTTCAAAAGAATGCTAAAAGTGCTAAAATAAATGTTTGTTTAAGAAATGTTGTATTGTCTCGGGAGTTTGCATGAAATATTATCAGCCTCAACAGTTTTGTTTCAAATGGGTATCCTGGAATGGGTTCTTGTTCAAAGTCAATATAGTCCATGCGTTTATTGCTATGTGTGAGTTGGTATTCCATTGACGTAGGGCAGTGTTAGAGGGTGATAAGTGTTTTATTCCATCGGTAAATTGGAAATATAACGGGCGGATGTTTCACGTACCTAATTCAGCACAATTTGGTTGTCCTCTTATTCTGGTTCCCCAGATTTCACTTCCTTGGCGGTCTACACACCAACAGTACCCAGTAGATTTTTGACACTGTACAGTTTTGAAACTGCCATCTTGATTGCACTCAGGAGAGAAAACAATTGCGAAGTCCGCTGACCATGCACTAGCTTGAACTTGGTCCTTTATGCAAGCACTGACGTCATCTTAAATGAAAACGTTATTAAGCAGCTAAGTTACGTGTTTTTCCACTGTTTAAATATTCAACCAAATCTACGTAATGCAGACTACAGGTGTTACAGATTATCTTTTGAATTTATAAAGAAAAATTGTTGCAAAGAATTATTTTTGTGCCAAAACAAACTTCAATGATAAAGCTGAAAGCAACACTTGAAAGGCATGCGCAGTTCAAGTGGACATATAAAAGATCGTAGAGCTGAACTGAGGAGAAAGACGCAAAGACATCAATGATCATCGCAGTTAGTTAAACAGCTGACAGGCATCCGCAATTCGATTGAATATATGAAAGATCATATATTTGAATCATCGTAGTTGTGTACATAACTGCGATGATCATTCATGTCTTTATATGCGCAATTCACCGGGGTAAGAGAGGTTAAAATAATTATTCATCAAATTAAATTTCCACTGGCTAAAGGTGATGAACATGGCGGCCATACTCAAGCTAATAGGTCGACGGAGGCATGCAGCCAAGGTTTACAGCGTACATTTTGATATTGAATATTCATGTTATAGTCAACTGACACCTGTCAAAACAAGGTATCCGCTGACCAGTATAACATGACTTTATCGCGGGCTCAGGTTTAGGGCTCATTGAGGCCACGTGATTTCTTGAAGTTGACCGTTGACCAAGATAGGATATTTTATTGAAATAGGAGCTCCGCTTTTACCCTTGGCTGATTCTACATATTAGAGGGAATCTGGAATTATTTAGAAATTAACCTGCACAGTTGATCAAAGGGAGCTCAGATAGTGTGCTAAACTGACATTTCATTCTAGCAAACAGAGCGTTGCGAAGTGTTTGCTTTTATTGGTAAGAGCAGGCTTGTTGAACTCAGCGGAAAAAGAAAAAAAAGATAATAATTCAACAATTCAATGGAAGCTAAACCCTAGATTTACCTGGTAAGTTGGAGCAGTCTGGCTTTCCTCGAACTTTGGTACCACTATACACATGGCCGTCCTTGTCACTGCACCAACAGAATCCAGATGAGGGGTGACACTGTACTAGTTCATATTTACCGTCCGTTGTACATTCAGGGACGAAGAGTCCGGGCACTGCAATATCATGCCAGCCTAAGGCGAACTGACGTTCACGGAGACAGCGAGGTAACTTGCCTATTAAAGTGAGCATAACTTTAATAAAAGCAGAAGCTGCTGTAATGACAGTTAAATGGTAGACGGGTCAGAAATTAAACGCTTTCCCAAGAAGACCGTTACAGCTTATCTCTAGAAGGAAAACTCCAAATTTCGAGTCGTGTTCGCGTAAATCGATCGATGATCATATGAGTAAGTTCTTCCGGTTAATGCCTAACAAAACAATAACAACAATATCAACCTACCGTCTTGGAAACAGAGGGGTGGGCTTCCTCTTTTGCGTGTTCCGCGTATTTCTTTCCCGTTTTTATCAACGCACCAGCAGTACCCAGTTGAACCATGACATTGAAGTCCTTTGTACTCTCCAGTCCGCTTGCATTCTGGTACGAAACGGCCGGGAGGAGGTACGATGTCGAGACCGTAAGCCTCAAGACGGTCTTTCAAACAAGGGGTCAGACCAGCTGCCAATTTAAAGAGGCGTTAAAACGTTGTTCGAAGGCTCTAGGTAGTAGGCTTTATTGTCTGTTATACACTCAATGATAAACACAGCATCCGGAGCGGGGAACTCGTTTATTGACACAGGATACAGTGAGCGTTACATCATCATAAAGAAAATATAGCGGTGAGTAGACAGAAAAAAATAACAGGCAAAATTGACAGAGATGCCTTCGAGTGGCTCTTGTATAAGTTACAAAATCTTAAATTGCCTTCCAGCCCCATAGGGACACGAATCATACATAATGAACATACTCCAGTGTAATTAGCAAAACGATAAAAAACTTGACTTAAAAAACTTAAGATAGCACGAGTTTAGTTATTCTTAATTTAGGCTTCATGTGTCTGACTTCATATCCAAAGGCAATGCTTTTGTTGTCAAGAAGCCACTTGTTCCATTGTAATCATGCACCAATAACAACAAAAAACAAGAACATCAGCAACAACAACAACAACAACTACTACGAAAACAACGAGAACACCAGAACAGTTTGTATCTTACCGGTATGATCACACAGGGGCCTGCCGCCTTTCCTTGTTCCCCGCCACTCTTTGCCATTCTGGTCAACACACCAGCAGTATCCAGTTGAAGGGTGACATTGGACATTCTCATATGAATTATCCTTTGAACACGTCGGGATATAGCTGCCAAATGGGCGCACTCCTTGGGAGAGATCCATTCTCTTTCTCTGACACAGAGTTAACTTGGAATCTGCTGTTCACAAAGAAATATGATATGAAATAAAGTACATAAACTGGCTTGGTTTGTTTGATTGTTTGTTTTTGCCATTTATAGATAAATTTACAAAATATCAATCTGTAATTAAGGTATGGAAGCCCAGGGAAGCCTATAACGCATACGTAAAGGACAACCAAAAAGATACCTGAGGGTTAACAAAAGAATAAAAAAGCTGTCATCGGCACACAAAATGATCATAATTTAGCATAAAACAAGCTGAGCAAAAGACAACAACAAAAAAAGGGGAAAAAAGCACACACAAGCACACCAAGAGAAGTAAAATACACTTATACCAAAAAAGGTTACTTAAGTTTAGAGATGAACTCAGCAATACTAGAGGCATTTTGAATTTCGGTCCAGAGAGATATAAATAATTTGGGGCCTTGAAAGCAGCATGCGAATTTCTTTACATTTGTCCTACAGTATGGCAATCGAAAGTAGTTCTTAGTTCTGGTATTTATGTGCGTCACAGTTAATTAAAAACATTGGAACTTTCAGGAACAATGTAAAATGAAACCTGGACTACTAACCAGTATCATTGCAGTCTGGAGTTCCGCCCGTCTGCCTTGTACCGTAAAGCTCATTGCCGTACTTGTCCACACACCAGCATTGTCCCAGGGCATCATGACACTGAACTGGTTGATAACCTCCATCGTCACTACACTTTGGTATGTATTCGCCATTTGAAGGCAGAACATTTAATGCCAGTGATCGGGCTCTGTCCAGCAGGCAGCGAGTTGGTTTATTTCCTTCGAGAAATTCGTCGTCTGTGGACGGTCATATCAGAAAAGAACAAAAATGTATTTCATGATTATATTACAAGGAACCCAATCTTCTAGTAATAGCCCATTCTACTAAAAACCAGAGGCACCTATGGTTTACGTACGCTTGCATCGGTGGCAGAAGCCCCTTACTACAAGGATTCGAGGGAAAGCTCGCAGTGTGTACATTCGTCATGTGCACGACAATATAATTTTATTATGAACTATGTTGACGTCTTCTTATGTTGATGTTTTCACGTAATTTTGTGTCTTTTCAAGCAAAGTTAACTGAAGAATCCATTTACTCTGTTAAAAACAACACAGTTGCCAAAATTAGGTCGTTAAATAATTAAATGAACCTTTGGAACGGTCTCACAATTGACTTAGCGCTCAGATATCCCAACAAATACCTAGAATACCCCTTTTTCCTACCTGGGCATGAAACAGGTTTTCCTTTTTCATTTCGCGTTCCAAGTATTTCTTTTCCGTTTTTATCTACACACCAGCACGGGCCTTCTAACCGTAAGCACTGGACAGGACTGTAAGACCCGTCAGGTTTACATTCAGGCACAAAGACGCCCTCCTTTGGTTTGTTGTCCCAACCTAGAGCGCGGCGCCGCTCTTTTTGACACATCGACGGTGGTGCTGCAAGCGAAAAATCAAGGTCTAACATTATTCGGAAGCTCTGTTTTGTTGAAAGGACATGGAGGTACATGTATAGTGTTATCATGTTTGTTAACAAGTAAACGATGATTAGCCTGCTTTTGGTCGGTGTTTTGGGAACAAAACAAACATTATATAGTATATAGTCATGTTTTACAGCTATAAAGGCACATTCGGTTTTAGCCTTCCCTATATTTGATGTTTACAACATTTAGTTGCATTTACGGGCTATAAATAGAACAACCAAGAGCTGTCCAAATCACTACCTGTTCTGGAGTGTGCAAGGTGTTCCGACTCCCATCAGCAAGAAATGACCTTAAATAGCCTCGTTAAGCCTTATCTAGACTGGCCAGAGAGTAAGCAAGAGCAGCAATAGCAAGCAAGCCATTATAAAATCGTTTCTTACCAGTTTTGGGGACACATGATGCTTTTCCTGAGACCCGCGTTCCTACCAATTCTTTCCCATCACTGTCTACGCACCAACATGTTTCGTTACGAACCCCAAACTCAAGACACTGCATTTCTTCATATGATCCATCGACTTTGCAGCGTGGTTTAAAACGTCCTTTTATAACCTGGTTGGTATATCCCAGAGCCCTTCGCAGCTCTTTTAGGCACGGTGATAGATTCGCTGGTGATATAAAAAGAGAATGCCAATGTAATAGGTGCCTAGTCAGTAATAATCAGTCAGTCAGTCAGTCAGTCAGTCAGTCAATCAATCAAACAATCAATCAGTAAGACAGTCAGTCAGCCAGTCAGTCAATCAATCTTTATTTATAGAGGGTAAAAGTGCAGTGAATATTTACGTCCAGTAAACATCTTAAGTTAAAAAAAACCTCGTTATTATACATTTTCACTTTTAATTTTCTTTTACCTGGCAGTATGTAATAAAAAACTATGGTCCCGTTGTGATCCGTGGAAAGTTATATGTCATAACATTTTGACAAATATTTATGTTTTAGGATCACAAAGCACTTCTTCCTTTTTTCCAAAGAATTTTAGAAAAACTCGTGAAAGTTCGGGAGACGTTTAACATTTATTTCAGGTTCACGCAACAATGTTCACGTTTTCGAAAATATTCCACCATTAAAATAACGATACTTCATCTTTCTCACTCGAAACAGTGCAAAGTCATGGAAGAGATTCCTACCTGGTGCATCACAGTATTGCTTGTTTCCCCTGACGCGTGTCCCTGGCTCCTCATCGCCCATCTTGTTTACACACCAACATTCTCCAACTGAGCTGTCACACTGCATTCTTTCATATCCACCAGCTGGATTACAACTTGGAATAAAGGTTTTGCTATTTCCATTCTGTTCCTGAGCTGTGCTCGCTAACTGCCGTTCTTTGATACATTTAGTTGGACCTGAATATGATATGGTAAAGTTGTGGTTTGCATCTTTGTTTTTCTAAAGTATGTTAATATGCACAAGCAAGTTCACTTCACTACAAGGGGTGGTGGAGGCGTGGTAGGAGCCCCCTTGGATTCTAGTTCTAATAAGACATATCAAAACAACTTCGGATTTAGCAGTTAGCCTTCAGTTTGTGGTTCTGGGTCTTCATGACGTTATCTGATAACACATGACGTCATTTAACATCTGTCAATGTGGATTTCATGATTAGCAGATAAAAAAACGCTTGCAAGCCAACACGACTAAACAAGGCTAAAATAGCAGTAGGTGCAGGGCTTAGGGCGCCCGGACGCAAATCCTGGACGAGACATCATAAGTTGGTCAAGTTTGTTGCTGGTTCTCGTCCCTGCTCCCAGGATTTAATTTCTCCGGGTCGTCCGGTTTTCTCCGCAAAACCAACACAATAGCCACTCCGTGGAGGTGATAATATTGACCAGTTTTACCCATCTTACTTTGAGGATGTTTTGACGCCAGAGAAGGTAAATTCCCAGAGTCAGTTTTATACATGTACCTACCCTTCTTAATACAGTTAGGAGTTCCTCTTGTAGTTGTAGTCCAAATCATAAAGCCATCCTTTGTGACGCACCAACATAGTCCGGTGCTGCCTGAGCATTGCTCTGTTCTAAAGCTTCCATTCTGCACACAATCAGGAATGAACACTCCAGGTGGAACAAGGAAACCAGGTAGGTTGAGAACGCGGCTTCTCCAACGCTGACACGTGCTTAGTTTAGCTTGGTGGACAGGACAAACACGGTAAATACTTCATTTAGTCATCACATATTTCACTACTCTGACCTACCACACACACACCACTGCACTGCACTGTAATGTACTACATTACCTCATATTACTTTTTCCCACGCTACATGCATGCTGGGCTTCCGTTACACTACAGTAAGATATATTACACTACACGGCACTGCACTAAAATTGCTCTGCTCTGCTCTGTGATGCACTGCTTTATAATACTATGTGACGTTTTTAATAGTGCCCAGGTCAGTGTAAGATGCGTGAAACTCTTGGAATTATGCTCATCAAAACGCTATTGCTTGACAATCGGGGTTTTAAATTAGTATAAGGAACTCATCTACTGTTTTGTAAAACAAAGCCCGATGCCATTGACTCTACCTGGTGCTTTGGAGCAATCGAGACTTAAGCCTTTCAACTTCATTGTTCCTGGAAGCTCGTATCCGTGACTGTCTACGCACCAGCAATGAGTGGTATTACACTGCAAAGGCTTGTAAAGACCATCGTCACCACAGCCTGGTTCATAGGGTCGGTCAGACGGGCCTCTCCAGCCGAGGTGCCGTTGACGTTCTTTCTGACACGGCGATTTGGTCACTGTTGATCAAAATTGATGCCGAAACAAAATAATTACGTTTTCTTTTTCTGAATCTTTGTCTATTAATTAAATTATGCAGCACGGAGTGACCTAAAGTTGAGTGATTAAAAGAAGTAATAAAAATAAGCTGTCACCTGGAGAGAAAATGCAAACTGAAAACATATTTCTCAAGGTTGTTCGAAGTTTAAAGCAATGGATTTGGAGCGACACATTAGGAGCTTTGCGAATTGTTGATATTCATCAAATAGTGTGGTGGCTTATGCGAATTGGTGACTGCCCTAGTCAGCCATATGCTTGTTAAATCCATTAAACAATAATGGGGTTCAGGCAAAGTAAGTAATAAATAATAAAATCTTTATTTATCCCGATAAAAAACCGATCAGCTGAACCTAAGGGAGCAGCTAGTATAAACTGGTGATCAGCAATGTAAAATACGTAAGTAGTGATTGAATGACGACGACAGTTTACCTGAAGGTCTACATATGGCTCGTCCTCTGGTACGAGTTCTTGGGATCTCATATCCTCCTGCATCCACACACCAGCAGAATCCGGATGATTCGTGACACTGTGTGCTTCTATATTCTCCATCCGTCTCGCACTCTGGTACAAAGACTCCAGGAGCTGGTCTTCCACTCCATCCCAAGTTCTGTTGTCGTTCCTTTTGGCATTTTGTTAGTCCAGCTGTAGCACATAACACATATCAATACTGCTTTCTATGTTACTTAACTGGACTGCGAACAGCGTCTCTTTAATTTAGCCAATAAAACTATTTTTGGGACGTTAATGCCGGTGATATCTCCACAGTTGTACCATCGATTTTTTCCCTATCATTTATAGCTAAATTAACACAGACAACCTCATATCAGTACATATTGTAGCCACCATCCGTAACTTCTCAATAACTCACAAATTACAAAGGCCATGAGGTTATCTCGGTACGCAGAGCTAGTGGTACCAAATGACAATGCCGAATCGTTCATCCTGTATTTTGATTCACATAGCACTAACATCAATTATTACTTTATGTCAAGCTTGGTTCAAGGTACCTTATAGATTATTTCTTACGTCTACGTGTACTTGTAGATCTCTGGTGGAGTACCTTAGTTTCAATGACAGTTCAAAGGTTTCAAGTAAGTCAGTAGTACTTTTAAATGTTTTTTTTTTATTGTTACCTGTTACGTCGCATTGGGGCCTCCCTTTGCTGTAAACGTCTCTAGTCCTCGGAATTTCTCTTCCCAGTCTATCTACACACCAGCAACTGCCAATTGCTTGATTGCACTGCCCGGGGATGTAACTACCAGCTTTATCACAGGCTGGGACCCATGCATTAGCAGCATCAGCATCATTTTCACATTTCGTCTTGCCAACTAACAAGAAAGGTTACAGATCAGGAATTATGTCTGTAATTTGCCATATAGTATAAATATATGTTGTCACGACAAGCAAGCCTTTAAAAACACTGATGAAAAGACACAAGCAGAAAGAAAGACAAACAGAAAGTGTACTTTTGACAGTTTATCCAAGAAGACGGGCGACAAGTTACAAGTTGCCTATGTTTGCTAAGAACAGCCTTCTCGGAAAGAACCATTTCTTGACATCTAGGTCCTGTCTATCTAACGCTTAGCACAAAACTGAGCTATCGTAGTATGTAGCAACTGTGACAAGAGGAAAAAATGTCATTCTGATCCTACTTTTTATCAGAGTGAACAGTTGAAACTATTAAAAGTAGACTTAATTTCGATTAATGGACATTGAAATGAAAGATGGCGGGTATTGCTGAGATCAAATTAAAGTTGTCATCTCCCTCCCAATTGACCATATTTCATTAATACAAACCTTGAGTTCTGCAAGAACGTCTTCCGTTTGCTCGAGTCCCCACAAGTTCATTGCCATTCTTGTCAACGCACCAGCACTGGCCAGTGGATTTATCACACTGCTCGGGGGCATAGCTACCATCTGGTCGACATTCTGGCATAAAAATTGCCGCTGTTTTGCCATTGATTTGCCAACCACGAGCACGTAGTAAGTCCCTCTCACAACGTGTCCCATTTCTGGCATCTAAATTAGAAAAGGAAGGGCATTGAGCAACTGTTAATTTGCTTTATGTTTAAACTGAGATCGAGTGACAATTAAAGACATGAGATCGTTATTATCCTAGTCTTATCCCACCTCCCCCCGCCCGACGCGAGAAGAAGAAATTACTATAATGATAAGATTATAACACTTGCCCCAAAGTGGGGAAAATATCGCACGCGAACATAACGGTTAGAAACGTTTCCAACAATAATTCTTAATAACTTTCAATTTCTAGCTACTAGTATCTGGGATTAGAAAAAAGACGTTTACTGTGAGGGCAGCTTTAGGTGATAACAAAACAAGAGATTTCTTGTGATTCTCATCATACTAACTCACATTGCTTGTCCCCATTAAATAGCAAATAAACTGATATGAAAACAGTTAAATACCTTTATCACATGTTGGTTTCCCACGGGTGCGGGTGCGTGGCAGTTCTCTTCCGGCCTCGTCAACACACCAGCAGTATCCAGTAGACGGATGGCATTGTCTCTGGTTAAAACCACCATCAGGATTGCACTGTGGAACATATACTCCAACAGTTGCCACGGTAAGCGCGCCTAGAGCTTGTTTGCGAGCTCGTGCACAAGGTGCACGGCCAACTAGGTGAGGATACACTTTGCTGCCTGGTGCTGCAGGTGGGGAAGGTCTTTGTCCTAGAAATGAGAGGACAATATTGGTATTTAAATGATGCCACGGTGAATACTCTTCAAAACGAAGTGCAGGTCATCCATTTTACGTCGAGCAAGGGCGATGTGAATAAAAAGGAAAGGTGAAAATACAATTGGTATTGATACAATTGGAAGTTGACATACCAAACTTAGCACACTCTGCTGCTTGGCGAACACCCGCTGATCCTGCCAATACATAACCATCATAATCATCAACACAGAAGCAAACAGAGCTGAAACGGTGACATTGAAGTGACTTGTAATGACCATCATCACTTCGACATTTTGGAACAAAGGCTCCGGATGGGGGTAAACTGGAATAACCAGTCAACTGGTGAAGATGTTTTTGACACGTGGTCAACTTTTCTGCAAAAAAGAAAAGGAAACCGATTAAGCGAAATAAAGGGTCCGGCTATTGTGAGACTACCAAAAATAGTCTATTATACTGCTGTACTACCATGTGATGCGACCTAACCAGCTATGGTAAGCGAGGATCGTCATGCAGGTAAAACATAGTGGTCTTTACCTATCTGACACCCTTAATGAAGTTGAAAATATTTTATGTAGACATACCTTTTGAACTCAAACGTAGCCTTTAAGAGTGATGTTGCTAGCTCCCGTCTCTAGTTCTCGTTGTAATGATGTTTATGGATGACTTGGTATGCAAAACCTCGATCGGGTGGTTGCTATTTGGGTACATCTACAGTTATTCTTCAAACGGATACGTTTGTTTGCCCACGAGACAGATGGAGTGTAATTTTCTTTGCCAGTCATGAGATTGGTTTCGAGTAAAATGAAAAAGAGAATTAAGAAATTAATCATTTACCCGGTGCTTTGCAGTCAGCTTGGCCCCTTACTGTTGTGCCTGGTATAGGATTTCCATTTTCATCTGAGCACCAACAGTAGCCATATCTGTAGTCACACTGCACGGGTTTGTAGTCTCCATTCTCATTGCACTCAGGAATAAACTGTGTAAAGTAGCCAGCATCTTGAACCTGATTAACAACGCACGCAGGCGCAGAATCTACAAGAACACAACGCAGTTGTTTAATCCTGCTTTCATCATTGTGTTAAGCCCTTAATAGAGTCTGTTTAACATTCATTGTTGATAATATTTTCTTGCATGTTTCTTCTGGCGTTTTGTTTTGTCAAATAAACTTTAAAAGTTAATCTAACTTGTGCATTATCATGAGAAAACTTGAGTAAAAAAACATCTCTACCTGGTTTTGGGCATCTGATAGGGCCAGGAGATCTGGTTTGTAGGATCTCTGTTCCATTTGCATCAACACACCAACACTCATCGTTCTGTACACCACATTGTATGTCAAGGTAACGTCCAATAGAACTGCAACGAGGCAGATACTTGCCGAGGCTCGGTGGAGAGGAAAAGAAATCTACCTGCTGCTGTTGACAAGGTGTGAGTGGTTGTTCTGCAAAGTCAGGTTGCGAAAATCGGCAATAAAAATGATACTTTTTGCCAAAAGGAAGATGACTTATTATAGTATTTTCAATAAAACAACCTTCTAACAGATGTTTTGTCTCTGTAATTATTCAAGAGTTCGGTACACCTCTAGAATACAGACAACTCTATATAGCGGGCAGTTCAATTCACGATTTCTTCCTCTATAATAGAGAGGGTGGTAAAGGCGGGGGAGGGGGGGTTTAAGATCACGTTTCACCAAAAATAAATTGGTCCTTTCACAATTCACGGGAAATAAATTCGTCATTTCACGTTTTATGAAAAAAAAATGACATTTTTTGACACGAACTTACGTAACTTATGATCTTTGAAAAGTTACGCCCAAAGTACAGCCTTGTTAGATGTTTTTATCATTCGCCCGCTTCTTCTTCTGCGCGCAGCAAAAATGGGATTATTGTCTTGTCATGATCACGCAATATTGTTATTGTTGACCACAAATTTAATACTTTTTCCTCATTTCAAAAAGAATAATTTTGAAAAATCACGGTTCACGGCTTCTAATGAATCACGATTCACGAGGGAAAAAACAAGCCATTTCACATTTCACGAGAAAAAAATTAGGCTATTCACGAATCACGAAAATACCCTTTACCACCCTCAATAGACACACCTTCATAATACGGACACTCTATTTTGCCCCATTGTTTCGAGTATTATAAAGGCAGTGAACAACATTTTCTCTCTTACCACTATCTGGACAATCGGCGCCTATTATGCTACTTGCCACGGAAAGCCACATGATGCTACCAGCTCTCCTGTTTCCATTTTGATCTACGCAGAAGCAATATGGTCCACGGCACTGTATATTATCAAAGGAACCATCTGGTTTGCATCGTGGAACATACCGGCCCATGGCTGGATACCTCCAGTACTCCTGGTACTGCCGCTGGCATAAAGTAAGGTTCTTACCTAAGGGAATGATTTTTATGAAATGAAGTACAGCTTTATACGAAGTTAAGTAATCGGGTCGGTTAAGGTTCATCTAAGATTTGTAACCATGTTGTGCCTCTACACCTAGCAGCTGCATTTGATCTAGGATAGTAAGGACATTGTCAATTTGGGTAACGGAATTCATCCATAGTATGGAGGATTTGTATTTCTGTATTTTGTAGGGTTTCTGAAAAGAAACTTTTCAATACAAAAAGTCTGACAATTCTCTCTGACAACAAAGTTTTCGCCGATTGATTGCAATTTTATTAAGGAAGTAATCGACAAAAAAAATCGTTGTTTTTTGGTTTGGTGTCGTTTGACTGTAGCGTTGTCTTCAGCGTATGTTAGAGTAGCACAGAAGCGAATTTTCGGCCGGTGTGGTTTTCAATGCGTGTCGAGAAGTAGAAATTTGGTCGAGTTGCAACAGGCACGGGGGCGTTGTTAAATCTAGACACTGACTGGTTAGTGGAAGCCCCTTAATAATCTAGGCACCATTCCTACAGCACACGATGCACCTGTTAAATATCAATTACGTTTCAGTTAATTCCCGTTGGTCATACCTGGGGTAGCACAGTTGGGTGATCCTTCTCCAATACTCACTCTTGTTCCGGGCAGTTCGTTACCTCTCCTGTCCACACAGTAACAGACTGATCCACGGCATTGAACATCATCATAACTCCCATCGGGTTTGCAACGAGGAACAAATGTTCCTGGTGCCGCGTTGTTCGTTTGCTGGCGATGCTGATACTGGCACACCGTGGGCTGTAGGTCTAGAAAAGGAAATGATACTTTTTGTTTCAGTTTATGTTTATGGCAAATGAAATTTACTTGGTGAAATATTAGTTCCATTAATCACGGAAAGAAAAAGCGAGTTTTGACAGTCAGTTCCAGGTTGTCTTCAGTAAACATTGAATTGAGCCTGACTGGCCGTTCGGTTAGGAGTGTTCGTGAAACAATTAAGTATACCATCCATAAGATTTGCAACTTTTAAGTAATGACATTTACCTGCTGTTGTGCAGTTTGGTTTAACAGGAAGCTCTGTTCGAGATTGTGCGATCTCATCTCCTCTCTCATTGACGCAGAAGCAGGCAGTTCCTTGGCATTGTATATCTTCGTAGGATCCCTCTGGAGTACAGAGAGGTTTGTAACGTCCTTGCAAATATTCTTGTTGACATCGTGTTAGATCAGTGCCTGTTTCAAATCGTACGGAGGACAAGCAAAATTTAGTCAAACGTTCATTGTAATCCAGTGGCCCTGTCAAAATCGCTGAGGTAATTTCTTTATGCACTTACCCATTCCTGGACAGCTAACGAATTCCTGTGATCTTGTACCGCGTTGTTCCACCCCAAGGCTGTTAACACACCAACATTCTCCGGTATACTCTGAACACTGCACATCTTCATAGCTACCATCGTCTTTGCAGCGCGGCACAAAGCGGTCCTGACGATAAGGGGTTTTAAGAGCCTTTTCTACTTCTAGCTGACATGCCTTTGGATCTGGTGCAACTAAAATGTCAACATGTCAATTATTGTACCAGTGCAATCTACCATTAGGGACATTAGCTTTCTAATTTGCAGACATAAATGGAAAGATATTTCACCTGGAAATTGATCTTTTGGTGGAGCAAGAGCCGCCTTTTTGACGGCCCTCTTCAGCGGATTAACAGCATCCTGAGGAAAAACAGCCTTTGGGTCACTTGCAATAGCCTTGAGTTCATTTGGGTCAAAGTTCTTTCCCATACCAACTGGGATAATCTCCACACCTTTCGCGATAAGACCAGCAACAGCATTAGGTAAGGGAATTTGTTTGTCGTCCTTTGTTTGGGCACTTCCAACAAATACTACCAGAACCTGTCCAAACAAGCAATACAGGTAGAACGATTAAAAAACCTGCCAGTTAGTACAGACACAAAGACTAAAAATGTGATCGATATTTTACAAGAAGCCTTGATGTGCTAGTTCCAAACGCTCGCGGTCGCCTTGTCATTTTTATCGATGATTAATTTTGTCTCGCTTTTGAAAAGACGAATGGACTGGGGTCGGGAAGGAGTGCATATATCCATACCAATAGGGAATAACTCTGATCATTAAAGTCAGGTAATTTTCATCTTCACTAAGGAACTTAGGAACACGAGTGTGCAACACTTGTGTTTTGATTAGATTTGATTTAGTTCCTCAATTCCAAATTAACATAGTACAAACAGAAACATAACGTACCCGATAACTCTTGCTTTTTCGATCAAATGAGTAGTAATTAATGCCTGAATGAAGCTGCTTGCCGTTACAACTTAATTAACCAGAGGTAAGGTTTTCTATTCCTTTTCTTACCTTGGAGACATCAATACTTCCCCCTTTGGGGCTAAACAAATCAGAATCCACTGTTTGCAATCCCTGGCCAAGTCTTGCGGCACCCTGGTCATGAGGAGTTCTGTCAAGTAATTGTTTGACTGCCTCAGGTGTACGATTTCGTCCATCAAGAGGATCGTTGAAAGTGAAAAGAACTCTACTGTTTGGGCTGTAGGTTGCGGCGCCAACACGGGCAAGCCCGTCGCTGATGTTAAAGGTGTCAGCAATTTGTTTTGCAATTTCAATTTGGGCAAGAAAATCTGGGTGACTGATCTGTCCTGAGCCATCGAAAACGAAGCCAAGTTCTACTGGTACACTGGTGGTATCTCCTGAAAGAGACAAGTAAACCCAAAGTAGGTTAAACGCAATACTTGTGCAGCTACAAACGGCAAAATAACATGGATGATTTAACTCAGTTGTATAAAGCCGGAAATGCATGCTCTTTATACGGAGAATCGCAAAAACAGAGCCTGATAAATTCATTCAGGATACTTGGAATTAAAGGAATGATGGTGGTGGGAATGTCATTAACAGACGTGTGTTATACCTGGTTTGTCGCAATTTGGAGCTCCAGGTTGTCTTGTGTTCGTGATTTCCTTTCCATTTGCATCAACACACCAACACATTGGCCCACCACTTTGGCACTGTGTATTATTGTAACTTCCATCTGGTTTGCACCGAGGAACATAGGCACCTAGTGGAGCATTGCCTGTTGGGCCGAGAACCTGTTGCCTATGTGCTTGGCATGGCGTGTACCAAACTAGAGGGATTGTGGCAAAGCAAAATAATTAAATGTTATTAATTTGTTACTCTTAGTTAATTGATTAGGCCCATATGATAAGAGAACACCCGGAGATCATGAAGATCGCGTTCAACAGTTCATAGCGTGTAACTGACTTCCAGGAACAGGTTCTTAATAAACGTAAATCCAAGAAGTAATGCGAATAGACTGGCCTACTATTACTGTGTCGGAGTTAAACTACAGAATCCGACCTTTTCTCTAGGTTAAGCGGGACTTGAAGGAGAAACAACGGAAGATTTTACATCATAAGTTTATTAGCTTACCCGGAGTGACGCAATTTGGTATTTTCTTGCTTTGGGTCTCAGTGAACTCAAGTCCATTTATGTTGACGCACCAACAGTTACCAGTGTGAGCATTGCATTGAACATCTTGGAAACCTCCATCCGGACTACAGTAAGGAACATAATTCCAAAGTGCCAACTTTCCTCCAGACCCTCTCTTGACGCGATCTTGGCATGGTGACAATGGAACTGGATACAAAAGACAAACGTAATAAGGTAATTCTATTCACGGTGTACAGAAGAAACGCTTTAAGTACCAAAAAATGTATGTACAAGTTGGTTGTTCAAGAGTTATTACAAGTCGTCTGGAGTACTGTTGATAAGGAAACCGAGCGAGATAGAAAATATGCATCTTATGAAAGCTGTACTTAATATAGAGTTGAACTTAGGACTTTACCTGTTGCAGAGCACTTAACGACTCCAAGGCTTCTAGTTCCCAGAACTTCCTCACCATTTTTGTTCACACACCAACACTCTTCTGTTGACTTGTCACATTGCACATCACTATAAGAACCATCAGGTTTGCACCTGATCCGAGGTGATAGAGAGGATGATGACTGAGATTCAGCTTGTTTTTTCTGACAGTCCGATTTCGGTTTGACTGTAAACAAAAGTAGACTAAATGTCAATGAAGATTGTTGTGTCTGGATACCCTCCTCCTGCCTTTAAACGTCCTTAATTGTCAGCGTGAGATAAGAGAAGCATAACGAGATGGGATATTTTTAGCCAGCGCTAAACTTACGCTTAGCGATAAAACGCTACTTTAAAATGGAGATAAAAAACGAAAGCAGTGCTAGGACATCCAAATGATGACCTCGTTAATAGAACAATTGGCTGATAGCTAATATGAAGCAAACATATTTTGTAATCTCATTACATTCAACCATGAATGAAGAGTCTTTATTACCGTGAGTGTGCGTACCACTGTATAGTATTGATTTTTCTTTATATCATAAACTTACCTGCATCATCATCGCAGTTTGGCAGACCATCTCTTAATGAATTGACACTGGTGCCTTTTATTTGATTTCCATTTGCATCCACGCAGTAACAGGTGCTAAGGTAACACTGCACCTTACTGTAAGTCCCATCCGGATTACACAACGGAACAGAACGGCCTGCGACCGGGTTTCGCCAGCTGTCCTGGTACTGCTTCTGACAAGATGTTAGTGGGTCTTCTAAAGTCGTAAAATGGTATATTATTAGATATCGTATGATAATTTAAAAACAAAAAATAGAAAAGGCTTTTTTAATTCTCTCACTTACTCTGTTGAGGGCACTTGACTTGATCTTTAGACCTCGTTTGAGGTATTTCTTTTCCCTGCTTGTCAACGCACCAGCATTCGCCACTTGATCCATCACACTGTACATCTTCATAAGTTCCATCTCGTTTGCATCTTGGAACAAACTTTCCTCCATCTATCAGACTTTTCTGGGCATGCCTTTCGCATTTTTTAAGAGTGTCGTCTTTATAGAAGGAATCAATAAACAAAATGACAATTATGTATTGCACTGGTTTTTGTCGTGTAGTCTCGTTTTCGCATGGGAAAATTTTGAAGTCAGTCGGACAGTCAAACAGTCGTCAGACAGTCAGACAGTCAGACAGTCAGACAGTCAGACAGTCAGACAGTCAGACAATCAGTCAGTCAGGTCAGTCAGTTACTCAGACAGTCCTTCCGCCCTCTGACCGTCCACCCGTCCATCGTTCAGTCAGTTGATCGGTTGGTCGGTCAGTCGGTCGGTCGGTCGTAAGGTCGGTCCGTCCGTCCCTATGTCAGTCAGTCAGTCAATCAGTCAGTCAGTTAGTCAGTCAGTCATTCAGTCAGTCTATCAATACAAAATATATATAAATTAAAAGTAAAAGTCAGGTTGCACCAACCTGGATCTTCACACTTGGGCCTTCCTTGGCCAATGTTCACTTTGGTGCCAGGAATACTTATTCCATTGATGTTTACACAGTAACAGACAGAACCGAGACACTGTGCCGGTTCAAAGTTTCCATTTGCTTTACAGCGTGGTATAAAAGCTCCTGGTGCTGCGTTGGCCGAGTTATCAGCTCGTTGCCTCTCACACTTTGTAAATGCTGAGTAATGAACAAAACTATTATAAGACAGTTGAAGAACTTATTAGATACAAAGACCTCTATGTTTCTGCTTCATGTTCCGATTGGGGAATACACATCAGGTCATTAAAAACTCGTTCAGGAATTTATTTGGTTGGAGTCGCTAAAACAGAAGTGTCGCTTAGGTCCAACAATTTAAACCTCGGACGTACAAGGGTGGAGGTGGATGCCACCCCTCCATAAGGTTTTTTGAAAGTTTTCAAAAGATTTATTCTAAGATGTTGAATTGAAACGTTCAGTAGCGGTTCATCCTTTGCGGAAATTTTAGAATGTAAATGTGTAATTACGATTTTTGACTTTGCTAAAGTAACCGCAAACTCCCAGTAGGTGTGGCCAAAAATCTACTTTTATACAGTGCTCTATTTTTTATACAGTGTCTTCATCAAATTGCAGAAATTTTTGAATGTTTACGTTCCGTGAGCATTTTCACTTGATTTTGTATTAATTTCCCTTTTTGGGGAACTTTTAGAAAATAGTAAAATCCAAGATAGTGGATTCAACCCGGCGGATCAAGTGACGTCATTTGACACCATTAGCAACAAAAATGGTGTCATCTTGTAGAGCAAGCTCAGGGTTACCTACCTAATGTAAATTTATTCTGCTGTGCCTTCACAGAACGAGAACCCAAGGGAGGTCTTTATGTGATCAAGAAAGAGCTATGGAGATTGTATACCATTCAGTACTTAGAAAATATTGGACGGGTAATATAGCATTATGATCAGCTGGCACTGGTTATTGCGGCTCTAAGCCATGTCAGTCGTACAAGAAAGGTAATGAAACAATCTCATGGATTTCAAAAAGGACTGGCAGAGTTGGTAATGGATGATGAAGTCGGTTTACAAATGCTTCTTTTAGTCTTCTGACATAACTTAAAAGATTTTAGAAGTGTTTTAGGGTAGTCCAAATAACTGGAGAGTCAGGGCAATAGAGTAAATGTATAGACATTAGAATCACCTGGATCAGGACCACACATGAGGTCACCATCTGATACATTCTTCCTGGAGCCATATATTTCGACGCCATCCTTATTGACACAGAAACAGTATGACTTGTGGCACTGCTTTTTGGAGTAGCTTCCATCTGTTTTGCACCGCGGTAAATATCTTCCTTTCAACAGCCAATTTCTTGACTTTTCTGCGTATTCCTTTTGACATGGTGTTGGGTCTCCTCCTGTTTACAAGGAAACGTAAATATTATTTTTCACACACAGTGGACTGCATTATCAACACTAGAAATTTGAGAGTGAATGTAACCACCCTAAAAAATAGCTTACCTATTGCAGGACACTTTATAGAGCCAGTTGTTCTGGTGTCAGTTATTTCGTAACCATTTTGATCAGCACACCAACACTCCTTGGACTTGTCGTCGCATTGGATTTCCTCGTAGTCTCCATTAGCCTTGCATTTTGATCCTGATCGTTGTGGGATGACTAACTGATCGTCACCATTGTTATATCTCTGGCACATTGTCACTTCAGGATCTGTAATCATTATTCGTCAAAAGTCACTATGTAAATATTTCAGTGCCTCAAGCATTCGCTTATCAGATGAGTTAGTGATCAGTGATCAACTAAGCGTCTTGCCTGTTCGATTCACTTCCTCTATTGTCTACGTTATGGCATTAATGTCTGCACAGTCCAGTTTTGTCATGATGGCTTTTTACAATAATCAATAAATTATTCACACTGTTTTACAGGAAATCATCAGCCTTTTCATGGAAGGCACATGGTGAACTGCGACCACTTACTAGATGCTATTACTTCGTTACCTGCGTCTCCAAGAGAGCAGCTCGTGAAACTAATAATGACTCTAATAATGACAGTTTGGTAACAAGAACTTGAACGCGCAACTATGGCTCGCTGCAATTTGTACTGAAAATAACTGTGAAATCTCGTTTTTGCTGTTTGCGCCTAACGGTTCAAAGATTCTAAGGTTCCGCCGTCTTAGTAAATAGCAAGAGTGCGGATGTTTAGATGTCACAGTTTCAAATATAAATCGTATTGAAACTTTCACAAAAACCACATTCTTTGGAATGCGTGTTGGTGTAATCAGTGCTACCTCTCTGTGAAATAGAGGATACTTTATGTCTCTTACTAGTACCAACCGTTTGTAATCGCATAGGCAATTTTGGGATCGGTATCAATATCACTCTCAGGGTTTGTTCTGAAGACGAATCTTCCGCTACTTGCAGCTCTAACGGCATCAGGCTTATCTGCTGACGGATTTGTAGTTACAACATACACTTCGACACCTCTATTCTTCAGCTGCGTTACAGGGTAGATCCATTTGTCCTCAGGCGGCCATTCTCCGTTGATAAAGAGAACAACAACCTACAAAAAAGAAAACCCATAGAAAACCACATGTTTAAAAGACTGAAAGCTTTCCGCATAACTTGTATCTTGTTGTTGGTTTTTTTAAGTGTAGGATATAAATGACAGTACTGTTATCAAGTGATCGTCCGTGAGTAGGCCAAGCCGATAGTTCCACTTCCACAAGGTGGAAATCTCCAATGTCCTTTCACTTAACTTTGAACCTTTCGTACTCTCACGTTTACGTACGTTAGTCAGACACAACAGCTCTTTACAAGTTTACCATCAACTGCAAGCTAACGTCAAGTAAATTTCTAATCTCACTGGATTCGAAAAACATTCCTTACACTTTTATGGTAAAAAAAAAAAAAAAAACGTACTTGTTTAGTCGCCGGGCGTGATCTGTTTCGTGAAGTGAAGAGATCATCACGTGCCACCTGGAATGCAAGGCCAACCCGTCTGTCAGATCCTCCTAGTTGAGCAATGCTGTTGATCCTCCCCCTGACTACGGCAGCACTGTAGGGTCGATCACCCGCCGTAGGGAAGGGAACTGCCACTGCAGCTGATGAACTGAATGGGATAAAGCCAACGTGGGTGCCACTTTGGGAGACATCGAAGTTAGCAATAATAGCTGAGATGGCGTTCAATGTCTTTTGCCAGTTAACAGTATCTGATGAATCCGCTAGGAAACCAACGTCTAAGGATGGGATGTAGCCTGAATGAAACAACGACGTTAGCTCGCCATCATTTAGTCTCCAACCAATAAAAAGTGACAGTAATTTTATTATAATCCAGTACTTGGTGACCACGCACTAAATCAGAGGTTTAATTTTTAATCCTATAATGTGTCCATTCCCTGTCAGATTCAAGTAGTTGGCTGTATTGTGCTGGGAGTAACTATTTTTATTGACAGTAAAAGAAAAACAAAAAGCACAGCAAAAGAAACCCGGCCAGTCCAATATGATCAATGAAACGAAATGTGATGGAAACGTACCTTGACGTATCATACCATTCAACTGAGAAGCAAGTATCGGCAAACTACTAGTTTGAGTCCTGAAGACATACTCTGGCCTTGATGCTATAGCTTCCAACTCCGATGGTATCACATTTGGCCCAATACCAACTGAATATATGTCCACTCCAATATCGTTGAGCTGCGCTGCAAGATCAGCAAATGGCCTCCCTTTCGTAACCTGAGGACCGCTAGTGACCAATATGGCAATCTGTAGGAAATCGTGGAACCATTTACATATCGGCAGAATTTATGCTTAAGGACTTTTGTACTAATTGTTTGTGTGCATCAAGAATGCGCACCTAATTATCACGCCACCTCATACATCAAACGCGCGCTTAACTTACAAAATGAACAACAATGGTGCTAGTGGCCCCTATTACAACGCTTCGTTAAGCTTTATGAGTGCTTCGAAAGCCTCTTTAGGAGTTACATTTATGGATAGGATAAAATTTCTAACGCAACAGAGCCACATATAGAAAATATGATAGAGAAGGTCGCCTCCGTTGACTCATGCGATATCCAGAGGAATCAGATTGGGGAAAACTGTGTAAAGTGGACATGGAAGTAGTTGCTGCTAAAGGGTTCCCATACCTTCTTGGCATCTGGTCTTGATCCTCCCCTTCTGGTAAAGAGAGCAGTGGCAGCAAGTGGTAGTGCTAAATCAATGCGTCTCTCACCTTGAATCTGAGTTATACGATCGATGAAGGTGTTGACAGTAGAAGGGGTCAAGTTTTCATCTCTAATTGTGTTAAAGTATAGTGAAATGGACGGCGTAGATGTGTATCTCATTATTCCAACTCTTGCACCATCTGGTTTTGCGGAAACATCAAGCCCATTAACAATTCTTTTTAAGAAATCGAGCACAGCTCTCCAGTCGTCTGCTCCAAGTGCAAGGGTTTGGTCAAGAACGATTCCAACATCTAAGGGTCTTCTGCCATCTACCGAAGAAGAAAAGAGTGAATTAGCGTCAAACTATAAGGAACTCAGTAGCTTGGTTGAGCTTTGGGACTTTTAACTGAGAAGAAAACAATGAAGATAACTGGCGGCCTATGATTCAGGCTTACCTGGCCGTGGAGCAGTGCAGTTAGGCTTTCCATTGGATAATATCACATTACTCCTGTATATCTTTACGCCATTTGCATCCACACAAAAGCACTCTTGGTTTGCGCACTGTAGCTTGTCAAAACTTCCATCAGGCCTGCAACGCGGTGTATAGCTTGAGGGATCTCGTCCTTGATATTGTTTTTCACATGGTGTTGCTGGCTTGCCTGAGATCAATACAATGTTTATGAATTCGTTTAACTATGTTTACTCCCAACCATTCAGTTTTAAGATAGAAACATTTTCCTTCTCATGTCTTGAATGACTATACGAGGAATGTCTGAGAACTTGCAAACTTTGATGAAATCTGATGTTGACGATACTGCCTTTTTAAAATCCCTATGGAAACGTGGGAACTAAATGACGAACCAATTCTGTTTTTTTTTTTAACATCTTCGGCCTCGACGCTTATTAGCAATGCCTCTCCAGTAACCTATCATTAAGAACAAAATTCATTTCCTCTCAGTAATACTTTTTGTGAGTGTGTTTCACTATCTGCGTACGTTTTTACCAAATAGGCTACTCTGCACTTTTAAACATACCAGCTTGAGGACATCTAAGATACTTGGTAGTTCTTGACCCTGTCAATTCCGAGCCAGACGCATCTACGCACCAGCATTCTTTAGTCAATGACTTGCACTGAACTTCTTCATACTTTCCATCTGGTTTACATTCAGGTCCACGCATCATTGATCCTTGAGAACTGACTTGCTGGGCCTGACAATCCGTAGGTTTTATTCCTACAAAAGAAGAAACCAATGGGCAGTTATTCAGCGGTTGTGTTTGCGAAGAGGTCTAAGAATCTAAGGCAATAAGAAACGAAAATAGATCTTTGGACTAGAAGTATTCTATTGCAGCTTCATGGAATATTTGTTACAAATAGTCGAAATATATATAAGGAGCTATCCAGACATAAATGTTGTAACTTATAGAACTGAACCTTTCAACAAGTAACTGACAATCATTAGATGACCCGCCTGTTCGTAATAAACTCAAACACTAAAGTTAAAGTTTTCTCCAAGCATATTATTCTGGTACTACGGTGATTAATTGTCTTAAATCTCAATACCTGTCTCATCACAAACGGGCCTTCCATATCTGACATTAAGACGAGTGTCGGGCCGTTCGTCTCCATTCTGGTCAACACAGTAACAGTATGACATATCACACTGCAACGGCTCAAAGCTTCCATCGGGTTTACATTGTGGTATCTTCGCATGAGGGGTGTAACGGCTAATAGCATGTTGATAACGTCGTTGACATTCTGACAATTTCTTGCCTGGTTTGACTAAAAACGAGAGAAATGAGGCAATGTTCAGTGGTCTATTAGTAACCTGAAACATTATCGAAAAAAGTTTAAAAAGTTCAACTAACTTGTTGCATCGCGAGCTACAGAGTAATCAAGATTTAAAGCATTTTTCGTTTCTGTAAATGCCATAAGAGTGGGAGGCGCGGTGGCCTCATGGTTAGTGCGCTCGTCTTCGGATCGGCGGTCTGGGTTCGAGCCCTGGCCGGGGACATTGTGTTGTGTTCTTGGGCAAGACACTTTACTCTCACAGTGCCTCTCTCCACCCAGGTGTATAAATGGGTACCGGCGAACCTAATGCTGGGGGTAACCCTGCGATGGACTAGCATCCCAACCAGGGGGGAGTAGAAATACTCCTAGTCGCTTCATGCTACAGAAACCGGGACAAGCTCCGGCCTGATGGGCCACTTGGCTCGCATGCAGACTTTACCTAAATGCCATAAGAAATAACTTCACAATATTTTAATAATTATTTTCTCGGATTTTAAATTCACGGATATGATGTAGAAATATAATGATCAAAAGCCCAATAAGACATCCTTTGTTCCAGAGGGACTGACTTGAACATGTAAATGTTCCAACCTTTTAATTAAATCATAACATTTAAAGCCCGACAAGCGATTTTCTACCTGTTCTGGTGTCATAATCAATGTCAGGTGTAACTGAAGGAAAATCGTCTCCCACATATACATTTTCGGTGATATCATTCAACTGTGTGCTGTCAACTGATGACCCTATTCCAACAGCATAAATCTCAATCCCTCTCTGGCGCAGTTGTCGCGCTGCTGACCTCCAGGAATCTCTGTATTGGGATGGCCATCGTCCACTTGTGAAGAGCATCAAAACCTAGGTGGCACAGCCAGTAACTCAAATTTAAGTTTTGATAAGCTGTCATAATGGACAGACCTTGTCGGGAATATCGCAAGCATTGCGCAGGTAATAATGAAATGTAACCAGTAAAACCTTTTTGAACTTGTTTGTCATCCTGTCGTCCATTGTATTTTTGGCAACAACTCGCCCTTTTTAGTAGTTACCTCAAATTTATTGTGCAGTTTTTGATCTCGTCTACTTGTTTTGCTAAAGATCTTCCAAACAGTCTGATCTGCGAATGTTTCACTAAAGCTCTATACCAACAATACATAGAGGGCTTTCTCCTTAGATAGCAAAAGTAATAAATAATAAATAACTAAATAAATAAATAAATGAATGAATAAATAAATAAATAAATAAATAAAGCGTAACACACTCTTACATATTTTTGTCGCTAATGTTAAATAAAGAAGCATCACATAATATACGTGTACCTTTCTGACATCTGCCCTTGCTCCAAGCCTGGGTGTAAAGAGCTCATCTCTGGCACGTTGAAGTGCTAGGTCAATTCTTCTGCCAGATCCGCCCTGTTGTGGGGTTCTGTCTATCAATAAATCCCATCTTTCTGCAGTATTGAATGGAAAAGCTATCCTCGCGCCATCGCTGTAGGTTATTAAGCCAACTCTGTACCTTTCGTCGGAAACCTTGAAATATCTCTGAGCATTCGCCGAAACGTATCTCCGCCAGGAATTCCAGTCTACTGAATCAGAGGAATCAACCACATAAGCCCAGTCCACGGGTCTTGCACGCAGTGTTAAAGGACCTATCAATTAAAACGTTATGAAAGTTACTCCATCTCAATAACGGGTTTCATAATACCCATGAAACACTGGCATGGGAGCTATAGCAGAAATAAAATAAACAGAAACACATTTTCATCAGCAGTATTGCACCCTAACTGAAAACAGCGATAAGAAAAAATAGCTTAGAATATGTAACAAACAACAACTTCAGTTCACTTGGCTTTCAATGAAAAAAAGTGAGGTAAATGTTTTTGTCCCTTCGTAACTTTATTGATCTGGTGCTGTATCTGTCTAAGTTGGAATACATTTCACCTTAAACGACTAGTAGCAACGTGACCAAGAAAGGAAGAGAGAAAGAAACACCACCACCACCACCACCAACAAAAACAACAATGGCCATGCAACTCCACCTCTTGCAATCTCATTAACAAGCTTGCGTGTTGGTTCGGTACGGTCATCATACGATTTCATGATGTAGGCATCTCTTGACGGGTTACGCACAATGCTTGCCAACTGCGGTAGTCTTACAGATGACCCGAATCCGGCAGAATAAATTTGTATGCCTCTATTTTGGGCATCCCGGACACTTCGCAGCCAGTCCAAGCTCTGTTGGTCCCGCCACGGCGAAGCCGTCAGAACAACTACCACCTAAAGACAAAGGGCATAGTTAGCAAAGCATTCGCAAGTTTCAATTCACAGACAGTAGGTTTTTAGGACAGCTTAACATACAATGTAAAGCTTTGCATGACAGGGATGGCAGGTGCAGAGGTGCATGTCTGACAACACTCTGCCTGTCACACAGCCCATGCTTACCCTTTTCAAATCCATAAATTTAAGGAAAAAAAAAAGAAGAAAAAAACTGCATTGTGCATCTTTAAAGGAAATATACCAAGATTACGCGATTTTACCATGTTATGAGCGTGCCTGCAAACGTTGGCCCTCCCTAGGTGTCAACAAAACAAACTTAACGTGGAGGGGAAGGTTTGATATTTTTCCAACACGGAGTTGCGACCCCAACCCCCTCCCCCTTCCCCCCGCAGCCGTAGAAAAAGAAAAAAAGTGAAAAGGTTAATCTCTGGTTACTCTCTTTTTGTGCGTCTTGGTTGCAAGACGCCCAAAAAGTCACATAAGAAAAATACTTTACCTCTGGCAAGTTTTTTCTCGTCTTATTATACTGTGTAATACTGAATGAAAGTGAAAGTGGTTTTGAGATTGTTGCCTATGGAAGGCTGAACATTTTACCTGTCTTAATCCGACTCTTCCACCCTGTTGAGGTGAAAAAAAGCTCGAAAGCAACTGCATCGCTTGAGTAAAACCTGCACTAGTTCCTCCTTGTTTCTGGATTTGCCCAATAAAACTCAGGACATCTCTTCTGGTGTCTTTAGAATTTAGGGGCATCACAACTTTAGCTCCATCACCGTAGGTTATCATTCCGAAACCGATGTTCGAGTTTACCACATCATAAAAGTACTCAACCAAATACTGTATGTAAGTTAACATCCTATTCCAGTCCACGGAATTCGAAGAATCCACCACAAAGCCGATGTCTATCCCTCGAGGGTCACCTGTGAAGAAGTTTGATTACGTTACATTTCGAAATAAATAACGCATAAAGAGGTATTCAGCTCCTTGTAAAGAGATCATGCCAAGACATCTTCGAGGCTTCTCCTAAGAAAGGCGGCCTACCACACGATTGTGTTTAAATAGTATTTCCATTTCACATCCATTCGATTTAGTTTTGTGCAAAATAACGACATTAATACTACACCAACACCAAGAAACCGAGCGACCAACCAGCCAATCTCTATACTTTTGGCATGGCTCTACATTTTGCACTCAGTGCTCGTCGCTTTGAACAGCTATTAGTTTAGAAAAGCTATTACACAAACTACTCACTTGTTACTCCCGTTGGAATAACCCTAGGCATAGAGTAGCTCTCTAACAAGTAGCTGTAACTGGGTAGCAGAGTGATGTTTTGAAGTTGCTCCTTTTGTGCTCCTGGTTTGATACCGTATCCATAAATATCCACTCCTCTGCCTGTGAGAGACTTCGCTGCTTCTTGCCAGTCTTGGCTGTATTGAGATGGCCAGCTACCTGCTGCAAACACGACCAGGACCTATAGCAAGCAGAAGACAATAAGATGCTATAATGAGTCAAAATTGCAGTAACGTTGATAAGTAAATTTACCAGTTAACAACAACCCATCGTTAACATGTAGGACAAGCTATAAGAGGTAAACAATAAGAGATAGATTGGACTGCAAATGGTCACAATGATGACGGTGTCTATGGTAGACGGCAATAACGTTGTATCTACATAAGCACAGGTTTGGAAGCTGTAGACAAATGTGTCGAATTTGCGAAATACCACACTTGAGTCAACAATCAGGCTGAGTACCGATATGGTAAGATAAAGACGTGCTAGACGAAAGAGGGGAACATGTAACAGGAATGTCGGACAAAAGAGTGGTATTTTTACCTGATTGGCGTCTCGTCTGGCCCCACTCCGAGGCCCAAACAAGTCCGTGGCAACAGTTTCAAGTCCAAGGTCGATTCTCCTATCGTCTCCTCCTTGCTGTTTAAGGTCATTAATTGCTTGCCAAATGCGATTTTTATTGTAGTTTATACTGCTAGAAGTGGGGAATGGTAAAGCAACTTGGCCGGATGATGCGAAATACACAATGCCAACATGATCACCATCGAAAGAAATGTTCCTTGTTCCAACATAACCTTTCAACAAACTCTGCATTTTACTCCAGTCCACGGCTGAGGACGAGTCGACTAATATACCAAGGTCCATAGGAGGTTCGTAGTCTATACAAAAGAAAGTATGAAAGTATTTAATAGCTGGACAACCAATAGGCCTTATCGACAATCCATTCTCTGAAGAACGCGCGAAAATGCTCGACATGCATGATGGAAAACTTGTGAAGAACAATCAGTACATGAACAATATCATTTGAAGGAAACAGATTACACAATGGGAAGCACTTAGACAAATGAATACTTTAAATACTTTTAAAATAGGAATTCATGCTGAAAATATCCAGAGTAAGGACCCTTCCGAGGATCTTTCTTCTTTAAACCACTCTCGTGATGTAGGCTTCGTCATTAAAGATTAATTCTTATTATTAAGGTTAGGTGTACTTGCCTCCACGGATAGATTGTATTAGCCTTGGTCTAACATATTGTAGATCGTCGTACGAGTTAGATAGGAACCAGTATCTCCTTCCAGAAGAAATATCCCTCATCTGCAAAAATGAGGTTGATGGCCCAACACCAACAGAGTATACTTCTACCCCTCTGTCCCTTAGAGAGCGGAGAACTCTGTTTCTATATGCTTCTGAATCACTGTCGTCTTTCCACGGGCCGCCAGACATCACAATAAGAATCTACGTAAACATCATTGCAGTCTCAGTAAGAGCAAAAGTGTTGACCCCCAAAGTGGATGGAATAGGGCAAATAAAAGAATGGGGCAAGTGTACCCTGCTTATTTACTGGGAAACTTTATTCGAAGCACTTCACTATCAGACACGGCCGCCGTTTTTAACATTCATTTCGAGCAAGCGCTTTTGTCACGCCTGCCTAAGAAGCGATTACTGAATGGAAATCGCATTTGACCAGCTTCGCCCACAAGAGATCTGGGAAGGAGAGTACCAAACAGGCAATACAAATACCGAGGCAAGTTTCTAGATAATGCACGTTTGTGGCAAATGTGATTGGCATACAGACGGATGTCAATAGTTGCATACCTTCCTTGCGTCATCTCTTGCCCCTGCCCTGGTGCTAAACATGTAGTCAGCCATATCGAGGCCTTCGTTGATATTCCTCTCTTCTCCGCCAAGTTGAACAATGGCATCAATTAACTGCGCTGCGGCAGCCTTGGTGTAACCGGCATTTCCATGGCCACGGAAATCAAAACCAAGAGCAGCTTCAGCGCCATACGATATAAAGCCCACATGCCCCTTTTGCGCTGAGATATCCAACGAGTCAATTATGTTCTTTGCAAAGCGGCGGGTTTTGTCCCAGTTCACAGACGATGATGAATCAGCCACGAAGGCAATGTCTACTGGCCGTTGAACGTAATCTGCATAAAATAGTTCAGGTATAAGTTAATGAGGATAGCCACTTACCTTTTGATTTGCCCAAACTGCGGATTGCCAACAGCTTCCTTAGAAACTAATTTCTCTGCTTAGAAAAGTAGCGTAGTATGTGCTCTGCGTTTCTCTATTCTAATGAGTATTACAATCATGTGGCCAGCCTTAAGCAACTGCAGGTAATTTTTCGCATGCCACTGAATAGGTGAATTCTATAGTAGCCACGAAAGAAGGGACTATTCGTGATATGTAAGTATTGTATCTTTTAATGCTACTCACAATCTCAATGAAAATGAAAGAAATCAGTCTTTTATGTAACATCCTTTGTCATCTTACCTCCTCGGATAGCCTTCACCAGGTCAGGTCTTCTGTTGTCCATGGCGTCGTAAGAGCTGACTCTAAATATGTCCCTGTTGTATGGTACTACATCTTGAAGCTGCTCTTGCAATGGGACAGAGCCAACAGAGAAAGAATACATATCAACGGCAAGATTCCTTAAATTATTTGCATAAGACGTCCATTGTGACTGATATTGAGGATCCCAATCACCCCCTGTTACGAGGACGAGGACCTAGAATGGAGAATGATATTCATCAAAAAATGATTGCGATAAATTAAAAAGTACCCTGCATTGAGGATCACTTCATAAATGCACGTAAAACTTCTGAGGATGTCCGAAGCAGTCAGGTTATACGACAAACTTTCAATTTAAAAGATGGTATAAACAATATCCCAACAAACAATAAGAAGTTTATAATTTGTCGTTTTTCCTCAGAATATGCTTTCAGTCGTTCTCCCTGTGACCACACCTCAAACTTAGTTGTCGAGGCTACTTAACGTCAACTGTATCTCTTAAGTTCACATGTCCACTTTATGTTGACAGAACTTCAAAAATACCTTTCTGGCATTTCTTCTGGTAACATCACGATTGGAAAATAGATCTCTATATGCCGTAGTTAGTGCAAGGTCAACTCTTCTCTGATTCCCACCAAGCTGAGTTATTCCTCTTATCTGCTGCGTGATGCTGTCGCGTGTGAACGTGTCCCGTTTAGGATCAATGAATGAAAATGAAAGTACTGCTCTGTCACTGAACGAAACAAACCCAACTCGCACTTTGTCTTCGGCAATGTCAAACGATTCTACCAGGGATATTACAAAACGTTGCATTTTCGACCAGTTGACACTATCCGAAGAGTCCACCACAAAACCAAGGTCCAGTTTCAGTGGTCTTACTGAAAAGGACAATAGGAAAATTACAATCTTGAACAAAGATTACACGATTGCAAGCTTATGGTGCAAAGGGCTTTTTGTTCACCATCATAACTGTCTGATACCACCATTTTATTTCAATTTCTAATTTTGAAAGATAACTAAAACGGTAAGTAACTTGGGGTTCATACTACCTAATATAAGTGCATAGAAGACAACGTAACAAAGTATTACGCATAGATCTTAATGGTTTAATACATACTTGGTCTATAGTCAACTCTAATGAAGAGAACACAAAATAAAAGAATCCACGGGCAGATAACATTACCTCCAAACACAATCTGTCTAATCATTTCAGGTCTGTAGCTGATCATTTGTTGATTTGTCGAAGCAGAATATGCTTTGGATGGGAGCCCGCTGATGTCTTGGAAATATGAAGCTCCATCCTGTGGTAGAACTCCTGTGATATAGGTGTCAATTCCACTAGTCCTTAGCTGGGCAGCGGCAGACCTCCAGGCTGGGCGATAGTAAGGATTCCAGGATCCACCAGATAACACAATAAGAATCTTAAAAAAAGTAACGTTTTCCATGACATCCAATGTAGTCACATTACTTGCTACATTAAGTACAAAACATAAGACACCAAGTAACACAACTGTAACACAAGTAACACAACTTTTCGGGAGTTCCGTTCTTCAAGGGAAGTTTTCGGGTCGGAGGGCGGGGGAGGTGGGTTTAAACGAATCATTTACCTCTTGGCGGATGGAAAGTTCCCAAAAGTAATGTTACATGACTACTAATAATTAATAGCTGTTTCTAAATTAAGGCAAATTTTAAGACAAACATCGTTGCTTCACCTGTCTCGCTCCTGTCCTTGCACCATAACGAGAGGTAAACAAGTCCCTGTAGGCCACCTGCAAAGCTCGGTCAATTCTCTGTCCAGTGCTGTCTGATTGCCGCATACCATCGATCAGTCGTTTTACACCAACTCTTGTATAGTCAGCATCGAATGGGAAGGAAATCCTGGCATAATTGCCGAAGACGATAGCACCGACACGTGTTCTACTAGAGGAGATGTCAAATGAATCAGTGACTGCCATGGCGTAAAACAGGATACTACTCCACATAGCATCGGGTATTGATGAGTCCATAGCGAAACCCAGATCCACTGGATAATCTGAATAGGTAACAGCAGGCGCATTATTTATACTTTGCACAACCATTTAAGTCTAGTTCGCATAGTGTGATCGTCCGGGTGAGGGTAGTTCTGAAAAGAACTGTTGGTGGTGACTGACGTTTCGACAATCTGATCGGAAGTCATCTTCAGAGTCAAGTAAATAGTGTTTGCCAGGCGATGATGTTATTAGTCTGGTCCGTGCTTGGTCAGTTTAGCCATGATAGTATTGGCTGGAAGACTCGTGTAAAGTTTGTCATCAGTCATTGGTGGGTTTCGATCCGTCTATTGTTAGTCAAATTGGTCGGTTTTTGGTCCGTCTATTGTTTGTCAAATTAAGTCGGTCTGTTAGAAGTCCGTTTGTCGGTTTCGTTTCCGTCGTGGATAAGTCGTTTATAAGGCGCCGGTAGTTGTTGACATCTGTTAAGAGGCGTTTGTTCTAGGTTAGTGTACCAGCTTTCCCGAGCCAGTCGTTGAAAATAGTTTGTACTGCAGGTTAAGCACTGAGCAGAGTCCCAGTAAATTTTGTGGTTTGCCAGTTGATGATGCACAGCAATGCGATTGTTGGCGTCACCATTTCTTGTGGCTCGTTTGTGTTCAGTCAGTCTCGTGTTAAGGTTTCTGCCAGTCTCACCAATGTAGGAAGCCTGGCAGTCGGAGCATTTGATCTTGTAAACTGCTCCCTGTCTGTTGTAAGGTTCGTCCCTGTCCTTCACGTTGGTCAGTAAGTGTCGTAACGTAGTTGTAGGTTTGTGGGCTACACGAATGTTCAGAACTACCCTCACCCGGAGACCACGCTATACGAACTACGGATACTCCTGGGTTCAAACTATTTACTATGGTGCATTTAAGTCTAGTTCACACCTGCCCCATTACGAATAAAAATAAATAAATATTCATTATATAGCGCCATTTTCCACTAATTGTCCATGGCGCTTTACAATACTTTAAAATTAAAATCCTAAGTTTAAAATCCTAGTCGGATTACGACACTACGACACAACGACATGAACATAATGACATGAAGAAGGACATTAGGTCGCTATGTTTGCAGTATGAACGTCCTGACATGATGACATAATAACAACATACCAGCATAAACATAGCGACATAAGGAAAAAAATGGATCTTTTCATTGTGTCTTTAAATCAATGTTCACATCACCAACACAAACGATTAGGTCTTTATGTTGTTATGTCACTAGTGTGAACCAGACCAAATCTTCATGTAGCGTACGCTGTTCTGTTCTTATTTTCCTATCACAGCAAAATGATATTTACCTGGGTTGAAGAAATTTCTAGGGAGCTCAATATAGTTGTACGACCGAACATAATCAGCATATGATGCAAGTCCCAGCACCTCGGCTTGTTTGAAACGTGGGCCAGCTCCAACTGAATACATTTGAACACCATCCTTCTGAAGCCTTCGTGCTGTGGGTATTATGTTGGCTTGAGTAGAGCCTGGTACCTGAGGCGATGCAACTATTATCAAAAGAATCTGCAATGGAACAAATACTCCATCACCTTCGGTAACGTTAGTGTACTTACTCTTCACTTTTGTCCTAATTCCCCGAGGGTAATGGGCCCGATCGGTCCTCACTTTAAAGTGATCATAAAATAAATTATTTTAACAAAATTATACCCTCCATTGGGATGAGACAATCCTAGATTTTCACTTACGGTTTTGCAAGCGAGAAAGACTAATATCCTGTTATTGCACGTCTGTTTGACAAAGGTTAAGTGAAATTCGTGTATGTTACTAAAGAGAACCCAAAATGATAGCACAATCTGTTAAAAAAAGGCCATGATTGTTAAGCTGGTGTGGTATGTCCAGGCATAGTCTAGGGCGAAGTGACGAAGATGACTGCATCGGCGAATGAATAGCTACAATAGATTATCGAAGAAAACAAACAAAATAAAAACAATTGACTAGCTCAATTAGTTGTAATACACGTACTCGTCTGGAATTTGGACGTGCTCCACCCCTGGAACTAAAGAGATTATCTCTCGTAAAGTCGACGGCTGTATCTATCCTTCTGTCAGTGCCGGGCAGGCGATAAAGTGAGTTCACTAGTCCTTTTAGTCGTTCTTTATTGAGATTTGGACCCCAGAGAAAGTTGAAGTCAAAATGTATGCGAGGACGAGACGCGTAACTGACGACTCCAACTCTTGTTCCATAACGTGCCGGGGAGATGTTCTTTAGAGCATCAATAGTATTGCGCATATACCACAAAATCCGTTGCCAATCGCCGGGCCTTATGTCTGATGAAGAGTCCACCAAGAAGCCAAAATCCAGAGGCCTTCTGTAAGCTAAAGAGAGACATTCATCCTTGGCATAAATACGTATGGGTTATTGACCAAGTGTGAGGTCAAGATGGCTGGATATTGGCCAAGTTCGTTTTTTGCCTGTTTATGGACCGAGACGGAGTCGAGGTTCAAAACCACGCAAAAAAAGAACGAGGGCAATATTCAGCAATCTTGACCGAACAAGCTTGCTCAATAAAGGATTTATTATATGGCTTTCAAGGAAATTTTTCTTGCAGGACATGGCGGGTAGTCCCGAGCGGGCAAGATAGCTCCATCTTGCCCGCTCGGGTAGCCAATCACAGCGCAGGATTTGATTCATCTTGCCCGCTCACGGAGCTGGCCATGTAATAAAATGCAGTATGCCCATAATAGACAAAAATGTCCGGTCACTTACTGTATGATGTGTTACATGTTGGGAGTTAGCAGCAAATAATAAAGTGTAGTGTACTTGAATGCTGAGTATTTGGCGTTGATCAAATTTGCAGGTATTCCTCGAAAATTAAATACACCTTCAGCTGAGCATAGTTTAAGAACGGATCGAGTTTTTAGCGTGACATCATTGTTTATGGAATGAACACTCTTTACACAATAAGTAATTATTAAACCAATTAGTGGTGCTTTAAAAAGCAATACAAAGGGGCACAAAAGTTATTAAATATTATTTCGACCAACAAAAACTAAGGCCCGATTGGCCGATCACGTCTTCTACTTACATGGAGGACAGGTAACGGTTCCCCTTGATCTCGTGCCATTGATCTCTGTTCCCTGAATTTCGACACACCAACAGTACTGTCTGTCGCACTGCATTGGTTCGTAGTCCCCATCACGCCGACACCTTGGAATATACGCTGCAGGCGGACGACTTCTTACAGCTTGCCAATACCTCTGTTGACAGGATTTACGGTATCCAGCTAAAATGGAATTAAAGAACATAATGTAATACTCTTAACAACCTAAGGTAGAACATGTCTTCTTCGGATTAACCTGTAATTGTCTTTTTTCGTAAATTTACAATAACGTTATTTTACAGCTCACTTGTATATGTACACTTGGGCTTTCCAGTCTCTAGGAAAGTTCTGGTGTTGGCGATCTCCTGTCCATTCCGGTTAACACAATAACAGTGGGAACGGTAGCATTGCACGGGGCTGTATGAACCATCAGCACGACACCACGGGATAAATCTATCAGGTGAATAACTCCTCAGTGCATCCTGGTACGCTTTCCAACAGGCTGTTACTGGTGCTCCTATCCAACAAAAAAATCGTATTAACCTTCTTTTAAGCGTTAATGAATAAAATATAAAGGCAAAATTTCGCAAACACTATTTGATAAACAAACTATAGAGAATTTTTGAACTAACGTAGTTTAGCAATTACCTCTCCTTGGACATCTTATTGGGTTCCTGCTTCTAGTTCCGGGTATTTCGTTACCGTTCTCATCAACACACCAACAGAAGATGCCGTTCTTCTGGCACTGCACTTCTTCATAGCTTCCATCTTTCCTACAACGATACACGAAACCTGCTGCCGTACTAAGCGATGGAAGAGCTTTCTGCTGGCATGGGGTCAGTAATCCACCTGCGAAGAAGTGGTATTGGTTAGTTGCTGAAAGACTATCAAACCTTTACTAATTAACAATTGGTAAACGCCATAGCGTGCACTATTGAGTTGGACGCACGCGGGAGGTTGCTAAGCACGAAAGAAGCGTAAGAGTCGCACGAGGCTATAGCTGAGTGCGACTCTAGCTTCTTGAGTGCTTAGCAANTCGGCCATTACTTTGGAAACAATGTCTGTCAAAAGATTTGCTTTGTAAACATTAGCACACACGTCAGCAGCGTACACCCATGGGCAAATAGTAGACGATAAATTAACCAATCAGAGCGCGCGCTTTACTTTAGTTATGTTATAATTAACAATTAGATTATGAGCTCGAGATTTCAATGAGGTGATAGTTGATGAGGCCGAAGGCCGAATCAGCTATCACCTCATAGAAATCGAGAGTGAACAATCTAATTGTTTTAGTAGAATTCTTACTAAAATTTACTTCAAATAACTGTTTCCAATTATTTCTTGACGTATTATTATTAGTCGCTCGGATTGAATTGTCATTTAAGTTGAAGTTGGGTGTGTGCGCGCGCATTAGTTTCTTCAACAATTTCAACTCTTTTAAATGTCAAGAAACTGTAAAAGTCCTTCATTTTGACTTCTCAAGAATTGAATTATCCATTTGCATCACAATTTTCCTCCAAAACTTTGGAAAAACGAAAAAAACGTCGCCATTTCCTAGAAGACCTCCACCCACTGCACGGTGATGGTTGATAGTATTCAATGGCTCAGCCAATCAGATTACAGCATTTGCATTAGTATACAAGTAGAGTTCTACTAATGGGGAATATTCACTGATTTTGCCTAACTGTTACCAGCGATAGGTAACGTATAATTTAACTTGTGTGGACACGTATAAATCGATATGTATAGATGAAAAAAGTGGAAATAGTGAAAAAAAATCGTTACCATCCTTGGAACATTTTGGTGTTCCATTACTGCTGTAAACGCGTGTATTCCTGACCTCTCTACCGTACTGATCAACACAGAAACAGTAAGATCCGTAACACTGACGCCAGTAATATCCACCATCAGGTTTGCACCAAGGAATGTATTGTCCAGAAACTGGGTTTTTGGAGAGCTCAATGTAACGTTTTTGACAGTCAGTGTAATTAGGTTGGGTTGCTGTTGAGAGACATATACAATGCTAAGCGTCAGGTAGGTTTCCAGCGATTATTTTTCAGCAGCTGGCAGTTTCTTCGTTGTATTATTAGCTTGCTAACAGTGATCGGTTCGCGGTCGTTGTTACGTTTGATCTTTACATTGTTACTGCCTGTTCTGTTCCAAAATGTATTTCAGACCGATCAAAAGTAGACCTTCTATTTCAGACCTAGGAGCTACTCAGGGTGGGGTAACTATTTGAAAAGGGCTTCCCATTCGCAAATCACAAGCGATAAATAAGATCATAGACAACAATGTTATAGATAGTTATAACTATGTGAAGTATAGCGCAACTTGCCCAAAAACACAACGCAATGATTCTGGTCGGGATGGAACCCGGACCGCTCATATTGTAACAGGTCAAAATCCCGGGGGGTACTCCCTTATATGGGGTATATAGGTATGTGCGGCCCCAAAGGGCGAGGTTTTTCAGCCGTTTTCGTCATAAATAGGACATCGATTTTGGCCATTTTGGTCATAAAGAGGGTATGGTTTTAGCATTCTAGTCTTGAATTGGGTATGTTTCTTAGAAGAAGCTGAGTTTTTTCATCATTATTAATAAAACCGTCAACAAAAGCCCTTCATAACTTATGTTTAGGGCAACTGCGCCAGCCGCAATGGTCATAAATAGGGTAGGAAAAATCGCAGATTTTGGTCATAAATAGGGAAAGGCTTTTGGGAAGTGGGCCGCACACCCCAACCCAACTTTTCTGGGAGTACCTCCGGGGGTCAAAATCCATTCCTTCTGGCTTACATGCCTATATACCTAACATAATAAAGTGCCCCCCCTCCCCCCCTCCCTCCGCCGTCGCGGCTTTGTACAGCCAGTCGCCGAAAATAGTGGCCCTTGCAATCAATAATATATCCAACAGATATGTTCTAGTTTCTGTTACTGTTTGCGTGGCCTTGCTCTCGGAAGATCGTTCTCCTCGTGGAACAGATAATATCCACGGACATAAATCGATGAATGTTTGGTTGATTACACAACAAATACCTGGATCGGGACATTGCAGATTTCTGGTTGTTCTCGTTCCTGGTATTTCTATTCCATCTTTGTCTACACACCAACATTGCCCAGATGTTCCTCCGCACTGTATGTTCTCAAACCCACCATCATCCTTACACCTGGGAATGTAACTGCCAACTTTGGGGTTTTGAATTGCTTTCTTGTACGCTTCTTGACAAGGTGTCAGCTTATCTGTTGTTCCAAAGCAAAAATACAGTGAAAGACACGAGAATGAACGCCGAGAGGTAAGAGTTCCTCTGGCGACAAGCGGCTAATTCTATCGCCAGGGGATGGGGAAGGGGCAAAAAGGGATGCTGAGTATTGAAGCTTATTGAGCTACGAATGCACGGTGAGATCGTGCTAGATTGTCGTCTTCAACAATATTCTCCATCGTTCCTGGTTGAAGAACGGGTGTTGTAAATGAATTAAATTATATCATAATAAAAAATGACAGTAAAATACAATGACAAGAAATTAAACGTACATGGTTCCTTGCAGGTTGGTTTACCAGAGGCAAGGGGTGTCTTCGTCCCTATTATTTCATTGCCATCTTCATCCACGCAGTAACACACAGATCCGCGGCACTGTACATGGGCAAAGCTGCCATCCAGTTTGCACCTTGGTACAAACCTCCCAGGGGCATTGTTCTTTGTAGCAGTTAAGTACTGTCTCTGACACTTCGTTTCCTTTTTATCTGTATTTACAAAATGGTGTTAAAAAGAAGCCGACAGTAGAGTAGTTTAACGGTTTCTTTTCAAAACAGTGCACAATTAAATTTATTACTAGTTCTCCACAATTGCAAAAGCACGCGTTAATAAAAATGTACGACAACAACAGCACCTGAAATAGTGGTCTGTATTTCATATGAACATTAAAAAAAAAAAACAGCTAAAAGTCGTAAGGAAGTTGGCTGCATACCTTCACATGCGGCTTTCTGAACGTCGCCCAAGATATCCTTTAGATTCTTGAATGAGGATATCATGATAACTTTTCCAGGATCAGATGCTATCGTCACAAGATCTGACTTTTTTGCCCCTTTTCCTACACCGATGGACCAAACGTCTACTCCCTTGTCTTTGAGAGGCTGAGAAGCCTTGTCCAGTGGAATATAGGGTCCCTTGACACCATTTGTTGTTTGGGCACCATCAGTTATCACGAAACAAACCTAAATTAAGGAGAAAGAAAGAGGTTTCTGTACATTGTCACAGATTGTTTTCCCCCTTGGGCCTCTCGCATTTAACGGCCTTGCAAACGTTGGTTGAAAAAAAACAAAACAAAACAAAACAAAACAAAACAAAACAAACAAACAAACAAAAACAAAAACAAAAAACAAAAACAAAACAAAAACTGTCCTTTGTTCTTCATTTTCTTTAACTCCCACTTTCTTTAGTCGTTTTGTTGGCCTTTTTACGCTTTGGAAAGGAATAAAAAAATTAACCAAAATGTGTCAACGTCGAGTTTATCGTCGATTTGAAGAGTAAAAAGTTGTTAGCCTGAAATGTCAGTGGTCTCCCGTGCTCAGCCTAGTCCCTAAGCAAGGGACGATGTCTCTTACCCGGGGATTAGGCTGACATTTAGGATAGACTTTCAGAAACGTCCCTCGTCTTGTTTGTTCATGAACCGCTGTTACTTTAGAAATGGTCTTAGGACATTTTCCTATCTTTCCAGCTGACCACGAAATGGGAGGTGATGACGTCACAAGTGGTACGAGCACAACGGTCCCTCATGACACTTTTTTTGTCGGGTTTAGCAGTCCAGGTTAAAAAAGTGAGACCCGAGAAACTAAAATAAAAACAATTCGCCTTCCCACTTTTGCTCCAAGAAAGAGTACCCCATTTAATCTGCCCGAACCCCTTAATCTTAATAAAAAGAGAAGAAGCATTTATTACGTTCACTCTATTGAGATGTAGGTTCGTTGTCGTTTCGACCGAGCCCACTTCAGTACCCAATTTTTCAGTAGCCTACTCACATTTTTAGCCACCAGACCCGCTTTGGTGGGTTGAGCTGACAGGATTTACCTTGACGACTTACATAAGACGCAATATTCGGTACTAAAATTAGCCATTAGCGCATGGTTAATACAACAGTAACCGGACATAAAATCGAGTCAACACATAATTATTTAGCATTTCATCCAGTCTGTAAGATGTGGGCTCCTGTGCAGAAGTTCTTTCGGTTTGTCTCGCACTCCTCTCCAAGTTTGGTGGGGAGGAACGGTTGCAAGCCCAAGGAGCGCCTGCGTAAGAGACTGGTTATTTGATGGTGATACCTTTTTCACTGCCTGCCTCATTCCGCCCTTGTCACTAAAAATCTCCTTGTTTGCAAGTGCCAATGCTCTATCAATGTATGTAAATCCTCTTTGGTGTCTTATTTTGTCAACAAATTTGTGGAGCCCTGGCGCGTTAAGTTTGTCCCCTATCAGAGTGTTGAATCGGTAATCCACCACTGGCCTTGTTGAATAGGACACGGAGGCGATATGGGTTCCCTTGGGAGAGACATCAAATGCGTCAATTGCCTCCTTGATGAAAGCCTTTAGCAATCTCCAGTTACGACCACTAATGCTTCCAGAAGAATCGATCACAAACGCCAAGTCCACGATAGCTTTGCACGCTTCTTCTATAAATAAAGGATAAAGGGAATGCAAACTCAACTTAAACTTACATCCTTAAAACATGGTCTAGCTAGAAGACATTAACCTGTCATTAAATGCTTTGACAGTTTAAGTTTCATTTTAACTCAGCTAAGACAAAGAGCTACACTAAAATAGGGTGACATGAATTGTTGTACATTTGGAAACGGGGAAGGGGGGGGGCAAGCGCTGTACATTTGCAGGCATGTACGTAAATGGACTCTCTCTAGTAGAACTGGATAAGGAACAATTTGGACTTTGTTGCTAAACAACTGAAGATCTTTTATCTTAATTGGGAGAGTTTTATAGCGTCAGTGTGCTCTTACAGCTTCTAAGTTAAATTGGTTACATAGGTTGACATGCCTTCAATGTCCGGCTCGACACAAACTCGTCCACAGGACTGTTGACAACATTTCATGTCGCCGTCACAATCATGGTCAATGGAGCACTCGTGGCTGGGCTCGACACAGGTGGATGTGTCATCAGATGGAACAGGACATGTGCCCTTCTTGGCTGAAATTAGAAAAAAAAAGTTCAACTGTACAACACTACTGCAGTCAAAGATTTCTAATACGGATGTGAGCAACATGCGAAAGTGTCGTTATTACGAAGTGTGCGTATTATAGAGGTCAAGATATGATGCCATTGTAAATCGCTTAACGGTATAAAGGGTCTATCACAACAAAACCGTCCCAAGCAGATGTTTGACGCCATTTCGCGATTTTCATGATAAAAGGGTGAAATTCACTGTGTTTAACAAACAAAATTGAACAAGGTTTGACCGTGGTTCGTTCTGTTGTAAACCGTGCAAGGAATGAAGGAAGGCACGAAACAAGGGAAGTGAGCAACACGTACCGCGGGCCAGGGTTTGCTCGTCACAGGAACGTGTGTGTGATTAAACTGTTACAAATTTCCCTCCTCCCCTGCACACCCCGAAGAGAAAATATTAAGTTTTCGAGTTCCATACCAAACGTGCGTTACTTGAACCAAATTTATTAAATGACGTTTGCATCATTACAGTACAACTAACATTTTATTACAAAAATTTTAAGAAATACCCCCTCCCTGCCCTGGGGATGATGCAAATTTTTTTGGCATCATCTTAAAACCAGTAACAAGCGCGCCTTTCTCAAGCCGTATTTCGATGTACATCATATATAGAACGCTATTATCTAATGTCATCTAACCTGGTAAAACAGGGTTTACACACTCTTTTCTACAACTCCCAGGACAGCACTCCACTGAGCAGCACCTTGTTCCAGATAGACAGTCATCATTTGTTGAACATTCATAGCTAGAGCTGCGTCGTATACAGGAGGAGGACTTTATGGGAGCAGGACATACTCTGTAGTCTGGAACTTCTGTTTTTATAATACAGATATGAAAGAGAAAAGGTGTTACTGTTGATTTGTAGTTTGTTGATTTGTAGTTTGTTGATTTGTAGTCTTTAAAAAAGGTACCTAGCCTGTTTGCACATATTTTTGCACTCTTATTTACTGTGTGTATATTGGCTACTAAGTCATATTGAACTTCTTTGTCTTTAAGACTGAATATTAGAAACAGGGATACAGAACACATTATCCAGTCGAAGGGCTACTCCTGGGCGCATTTTGAACGCCGGGCCAAGGACAGAGGAGACTGGAGGAGTTTTGTCAGTGGTCTCTATGCTCCGAAATGGAGTAGACAGAATTCAGATCAGATCACATTAGAAACAAACTCTTGTAGAACAGTTTGACATTAATGCTTCTACGTGTTTCAAATATCCTAATAGACAAGGATGACGATGTCACAAGAAAGTGATTTGCGAGTCTGCTTGATTTATGAAGGAAACAAGTGACAAAATCAATATAGATTTTCCTTTATCTTCTTATCTCTATTCATTATAGATTAGCAAGATGAATGATGCATAAAGAATATTCGGAATTCACTAGCTGCCGATCCCTGTAAGTAAGGTTACTAAAGCCTTACCTTTCCGTTTGCACACAGATTCACACTTCTCTTTGTTGAGAAAGTTGTTCGAATTCCCTTCGCAGCCACTGTACACAAATGGAAGGCATTCTCCAAGGTTGCTGTCAAAATGCCATCTAATTTTGAAACTTGAACAATTTCCATCTGCGCGAGGCTCGTCACAGAAGTCGGCTGCTGTGGGAATGGCTGTCAAGAGTGTCAGGACATTACATGTGAAGGAAAGATGAAAGATGATTCTTTAAACATGTTGGCAAGTTCGTTAGTGGAGTATTAATTAGTTGTTGCTAGTTTGTAAAAAGACGGTCAGTCTGTTGATCAAAGTAAATAATGACAAAAAAAAAATTTAATCAAAAAGGTTAATTCAAATTTAATCAAGAGCTGAATAAAACCTTAAGCAACTTTTGGTACGTTCACTTTTGTCATATTCATGCTTTTGTCAAGTTCGCGCCAACTTGAACATGGTTAATGCGGCCTCTTGGCTTGAAATGAATTTAATTCTAAAATTACTTAGAAGGGAAATGTTGCTTTCAGAACAGCAATAACAACAACAATAACAAATAATAATAATAATAATAATAATAATCATAATAATAATAACAACAACAACAACAACAACAATAATAATAAAAACAGTCCAAAACAACAGAACAACAATAACTGGAGTTTGCTGTCTCTTTGTACTACTAAAGCTACTAGGCATGCGCTATCACTATTTTGGAAGTTCCACAATTGACAAGGTTAGCCGTTTCGAATCAATGAAAAGTATTTATAATTGACTGTTGAGGTAAACGTACCTTGTATCGTTACATTCACCCGGGCCTCAACAACCTGATCATCGTCTGATCCACCCTGTGCAACGCACAAATACGTACCAGCGTCGTCTGTCAAGACTGGGCTTATCGTCAAAATATTTCCTACAGCGCGTACTCTGGATGAAAGTTGTTTACCGTTTGGTAACACCCATCTGTAGGAGGTGACTTTTCCTTCGATTCGACATGAAATGTTTCCTCTTTTTCCTTCACTAAGCTCTTGATACACTCGGTGCCGAGGGCTCACTTTCAGGGCTGGTTCTGGAGAAACAAAAGTATTGAACAACATAAGAAGGAATTAGGAAACAATTCTGAATGACCTCTTCTGAAGGTCGACTCGTCTTAATCACCTTAAACCTGGGATTTGAAAGGAGCTTAGCGGCTAGGAGCTTAGCGGCTTGCGTTTAATCTAGGATCAGTATCAGTTATAGTTTTTAAGGATCAATGGTGATTTCTGTCAAATACTACTGACTTTGTTCGGCTCATCCTATGATATAAAACTGTTTTTTTGAATGGGTAGGATTGAAATTTTCTCGCACACCACTTAGGTCACCACTGAACGCCAATAGGAAAGCAAACTGGACTATTGCAGTTTCATGTTTATTGTCATCACCAACACAAATAATGCTGACCGCTACCAAGGCCCAGGTGGAGTGTAAATAAAGCAGCTTTAAGTGTAAGACTGAGTTGCTAAAAGAATAGTTTCTGCCTCACGAGCAACATCTGTCGGTGCTTAAACACCGTGCCTCCTTTTGTTACAGCACACACGTTCTGGGCAACACAGGATTGTCCCGCAAGAAACCCATGAAACCCATGTGGTTTTTTCCGTTTATGGGGCAAAATTGCAATGGACAAATGGCCCTCCTCCCAAGTGGCTCTTTGAGAAAAACAAAATTCGAGAAGAAATAATCGTCCAACTCACACGCGCATACGATTTAAAGTTAATTTTCCCTCTAATTCAACCGTAGACTGCGAGCAGATTCTCTTTTGGTCGAAAGTCCGTGGGGATGAACGCAAAACAAGTGAACGTGCGAGCGTGAGGTGCGAGCGTGACATACAGGCGGCGAGCGGGAAAGATGCGAGCCGCGAGTAGCGTGGGCGCCCTTCTTACGTCTCGCGGCTTTGCATGTCAGGTTCACACACTCATGTTGTTTTGCGTTCTTCCCAACGGATTTTCGAGCAAAAGGGAGACTGCTTACAGTCTAATTCGCCCGTAAATGTTTATCTTTGTTATCGTAAAAAAAGTGGCTACATTTCTTCATAAATCATGTGATAACACGAGTGTTCGCATTGAGTAACCAGTTTTCAACTATTTGTAAATTGGATGCCTATGTTTTAGATGGAATGCAGGGTAGAGTAAACTAGAAAAATACCTGTGGGAGAGGGTGTAGGAGGATCTGTAGCTGGAGGCTGAGTAGGGGGTATAGAACCACACCGGCCATCCTGCTTCTTTATCAATGTCTTATCGCCAATAACACAGGCAGTCCTCATCAACTCACAGTAACTTTTATATGTGATACCATCAGTACCACATACACGTTGAATGCGGCGATTAATGCAGCGAGGCGGGCACGCGCATCTGGGCCTGGATCCTTCAACGAAGCAAACCTCTCCATGACCGCATGTGATTCCTACGCAAGGATCTGTCAAATAAACCAGACATTTCTTAAAATTAAATGAGATACTAAGTGCTTAGCTCCCTGTTATATATCCTGTTATACATAGGTAGTACCTAGTTTCATAGCTAAGAAGTGAAAAGCATTTCCTGTTTTCTAGTCAACAAATAGATTATGAGCTCGAGATTTATATCGCGTGATAGTTGACGAGGGCGCAAGCCAACTATCACGCATAGAAATCTTGAGCGAATGATAAAAATATTGATAAGTTAATACAGATAGTGAATTTTTAAGCTCGATAATGAAATGTGAAGGTGGATTAATCAACATGACACGAGCGTGGGACAAAGAAAAATTCTGAGTCCCCAACAGGAATCGAACCCATGACCTCCCGAACACCGGGCGGACGCTCTATCCACTGAGCTACGAGAACTCATGGAGAGCAAGGCCATTGCTCACGATGACTTCGATAGCGTTGCTCCTAGCAGTATGCAGGACACCTGTCATATATGAATTCAGTTAAATGGCCTTGCTCTCCATGAGTAACCCGAAAACACTGACCCCCGGTCCGCGGATTACCTATGGACCGGTCCACGCACTCCCCCTATCGACCCCCTCTACGGAACACCCCCAAAATATAATAAAAATAATAAAAAAATATGTTTCAGTTACAGGTTGTCTAATAGATTACTCGTGACGGCGAAATTTCGAACGTTACGTTGTGCAAATGTAAATAGACCTGGATTCAGGCTCGGGTGTAATTTATATCATTACACATTGCCATTTCCTTTGCTGTGGCCATAAAGTATACGAAAGATGCATACGGGGAAGCCTCCGGGAAGCCTCGAAATTTGTATTATTTCCCCTCTGCCATTTTCTCCAGCCCATTCTCCCGTGGGTTCGTGAACTCGTTCCAGGCTTCACAATTTACTCAGCGGAATAACAGATACAAACAAGAATAAAACGGCCTAAAAATATGTCTTCCATAGCCAGATTGAGCCACGAATGGAAGGTAAGAACTCTCCTTCTTACCATCGGCATCTCCTTACGCTGAAAACAGCTTTTAGGCATTTTTTTTTCGGGAGGGAGGGTGGGGTGTCAAAAACCCAAGTCTGTTACATTTGCACAGTGTAACACTCGAAAAATCACCGACACGAGTCTGAATCTGTAAGACAACCCATAAGTGAAATCTTTATTTATTATTTTTACACTATTTTAGGGTGGTCCGTAGAGGGGGTCCGTAGGGGTAGTCCATGGACAGGTCCGTAGGGTAGTCCGCGGACCCGGTCCGTTGTCGGGGTCCGTGGACCGGGGATCAGTGTTTTGGGGTTACCCGTTCGGGAGGTCATGGGTTCGATTCCTGTCGGGGATTCAGAATTTTTCTTTGTCCCACGCTCGTGTCATGTTGATTAATTCACCTTCAAATTTCATTACCGAGCTTAAAATTCACCATCTTTACTAACTTATCACTACTCACGATGACTTCAATAGCGTTGATCCTAGCAGTATGCAGGACACCTGTCATATGTAGGTCATGGGTTCGATTCCTGTTGGGGACTCAGAATTTTTCTTTGTCCCACGCTCGTGTCACGTTGATGGTAATTCACCTTCACATTCCGATAAAAATATTTTGTGTAAATCTACTATTCGTTAAAAACTTTATCTAAATCCTGTTCAAAGACACTTCGATAGGGCAAAGAAGCGGCCGCCAGTTTGTTAACCGCACACTGCTGTGCTTCTCACTGTCTACAACAGAGTAGACATTGAGTCAGTAGTGTAGCCATTAATCAGAGAACAGCATTCGTGATAGAACACTTGCACCACAAGTGGACGTTTGGGAGAACAAAGCTCCGTGTACTCCGTGTAGTTTTTTCGAGTGATTCTAAAACAGCAAGATAGGAACCTGAAGAAGGTGCTTTCTATTTTGACAGCTCTGTCAAAAGACACTCTTTTTTTCCCTTTTAGTTTTTGGTATAGTTGAATACTTGTTTTGTAGGCGAGAGTTTGATTTTGCTTTGGATTTTTTTTAATCAGGACTCCTTATGTCTTTTATGAGAGATGATCAGGTATAATAGTAAATATTACAACTTTATTTAACTGTTCTTTTTTCCAGGTTCAAAAAACCGGGCGGGTTGACAATGGACACCCCAAAGTAATAATCTAGGAAATCCACCATTCCACGTTTCAAGCGTGTGGTATGTCCGGAGAAAATTGCTACGAACATCATTTCCGTGGAAAATGAAGTGACTGCAAGAATCTCCCGTAAAAAGCGACGGTTTTCAAACCCTACCTTCTTTTTAATCTGAATATCGTCGAAATCAGAGAACTTGCATAAATCGTGCTGTAATTCGTTACCTTTATGTGAAGGTATTCTTGTCGTACAGTAGGTACCACAAGTGTGCAGGCAACATTGGCTCTGTCCAGGACAGTCCTTGTCCGAGGTGCACTTTGGCCCCTGTGCAGGACATGTAAGTGTTCGCCACCATTTACACGAGCGAGGTAGATTCGATTCACCAATCAATGCACCGTCAGGAGGGTTGTAAAAGAGACCTACGAGTAAAAGCGTTACATATCAGTCCTGAGAAATATTTCAAATATTTAATTTGTTTCAATATAAATAATGCGATGGCGTGAATTGTGATGGCGTAAACGAGTGTGACTATTGTACTTTGGGCTTATGTGTAACCACTACTACTGTACTGTCGTCGCATTTTGTCCGTGTTCAATAGTGATACCTTTGAATCTCACGACGTCTACCTCATTCTGAACTGTAATTAGCCGAGGATGTAGGCTCTTTGGAGTACCCAGCACGTGACCAGGTCATTCATAAGTGACCAAGTCAATCATAAGAATAGGTCACGGAAGAAAAACTAAAGTTATGCTGGTTTAGAAGCTTTTTTAAAGTGCCACTGAAACGAAATTTTCGTATGTGAGATTTTTGCTTAGTAATAAAGTTTCAACCTTACTTGGAAACACTGCGGACTTTTTTTTCG